AAGTTATTTGGAAATGGTGTTGGGCGAGAGGAGGAACGTGATAAACCTGAACAGTTTCTTTAGACGCTGACTCAACAGTTCAGTATGAAGCTGTGTGGCAGCTGACTTTACATGTAAGACCATAACTCTGGCATGTCAACTAATTAGGGCTTATTTATTGTTCAAATATGTTCGTTTTTTGATGCAACATAAAGTAGAATGCAATTAGAGTGCATCTTATTCAACCTTTACCCTCTGTCCAATCATCGTTTGCCGTTATGATTGTTTACCGTTGATGGTAAACAGGAAATGCATTCAAACTATCGTCCCATCAGTGTGGGTGGGTGCTTCTTTAAATCATCATGGTGTTATCTGCAACAAACACACACTTAAAGCACTACTCTTCAGGCCCCTTGCTGAACATTCACTGTTTGTTCTAATTAACAGGGTTCTTACGGTCATTAAAAACCTGGAAAAGTCATGGAAATTCAAAATGCTAATTCCAGCCGCCCTGGAAAAGTTATGGAAAACAATATTTTTCCCAAAGTTTTGAAAAAGTCATGGAAATGTAACTAAAGTTGCTTCAAATATAATTTATATTTGATCTAATCGCCGAAATAGTAATACTATAATGATAATAAATACTGTATAGTAATGAAACTTAAAATGGCATTTAACTGACGAGGTATTTTGCTGGTGAGAGATTTTAGTTGCTTTAGCGTGTAGAAGCTAAGTATGTTTTAGATAGGCACACCATGTTTCATATGCAGACCTTATTTTCCTGTTCCATGTTAAAATAAACCATTTTCAGTGGTACCGCTGAGAAAGAGTCATTTTTTTGGTCATGGAAAATCATTGGTGAAAAAGTGTATGAACCCTGAATTCAACTATTTGCTAATTAAACTGCAGAAAATCAGTTAATGTAGTTGTAATGCACTGCTGCAAACACAAACCCATTGTTACCTATGAAATGATTACAGTCCAATAGTCAACAAAATGTCTGTTTTTTTGCGAAAACCTCATTAAACAACAATCCATGATCAGAAGAGAAGAAAACAACTAATCTAGTTAACTGTATAATTGTGTTTAGCTGTAAAATAAACAAAAGCCACAACGCCTCGTTCATTCTTGCAGAACAATGTGAGGATAATGTTACCATTGAGGCTTCACATAGCCTTCAATAGGTTCAGGGTAACTCAGTAGTTCATAGTTTCCTCTCTGCCCACTGAAGGCTGATGCTTCCTTTAAAATCTCTTGACTTTAAGACGTCTCATTTAGGGTTGAATCCAAGTCCTCTTACATCCTCTTCTTTATGTTTCTTCGGTCTACTAAATGTATTCTTATCTCTCCTGGACTTCCTCTCTTTCATCTGCAGGTTCGAGTATTTGTTCAACTTCGACAGCATGTTTGAGATCCACGACGACATCGAGGTGCTGAAGCGGATGGGCATGGCCTGCGGTCTGGAGGTGGGGAAGTGTTCTCCGGAGGACCTGAAGGTCGCACGCAGCCTGGTGCCCAAAGCGCTGGAGCCCTACGTTATAGGTCAGTCCACTCATTAGGAGTTATGAAGTCTCAGAGACTGCTGATGCTGTGGTTCTGGTTCTTTCTTTATTTCCAGGGTTCCCGCGGGGTCTTAAAAAGTCTTGCATTTGATAATCAGAATTTAAGGCCTTAAAAAGTCTTAAATATGATCAAAAAAATAAGAAAGGTCTTAAATATGATTTAGAAGGTCTTAAAAATGATGGGATTTGAAAGGTACTTCTGTGTTGCGATCACATCTAAATGTGTTTTGGGGGAAATGTCCAGGCTGCAAAGTAACCAGTACGGTAATAGCCTTTCAGTTCCCCCCAACAATTTGTATTGAAATAAATCAACATGGAACCAGTCATCACTAACTTTGTTTCCCCCGGCCCCTTATCGGAGAACACCCAGCTAGTAACCTAGCAACCAAGCTTCAGCTAGCGGCAGTCAGAAATTGGGTATCTTCGAATCTACTTACAAATAAATATGGGGAAGTGTAAGTTCAACCGTATTTGGTTGGAAAACATCGAATTTAGTGCTTGGTTGAAACCAGTGGAGGGCAACGTGTTTGAAGCCCGCTGCACCTTTTGCAAACAATTAGCATTTGTTTTGCTAGTGCAGGGTTAGCTAGTGCAGCTACTCCCGCAACAACACCGGGGGACCTCCGTGCGACGTTTGAGTCTACGTCAACCCTAAAAGCGGAGGTGCTGTGAATGCTAAACACCAATCATACAACAGCATGAAGACAGCAGAGCTCTGACTATAGCTCTTGTCACTCTCTCTCACACACACACACACACCAGTCTAACACAGTTCTGTGTACTGTTATGTTCAGTCATCGTTCTTATGTTGAACATGAATACATTTACTTTGTAAGTAATTATGGGACGTATTTCTTCTTTCCTAGCCATTTTCCTTCATACTTTCTTGCCGTGAAATAGGTCTTAAATTCTATTCAAAGTGGTCTTAAAAAGTCTTAAATTTGAGTTGGTGAAACCTGCAGGAACCCTGATTTCAGAATCAGAATACCCGTATTGGTCCCATAGAGGGGACAGCCGAAAAGAGCCAAAGACAGCTTAATGTTACCCAAGACATTTTTAGAAAATGTAGCCTGCTTATTCAATGTTTTCATGCTCGATAAACACAGATAATATTTTACAGGTTTCCCTACCATTAGTCCGGTACACTGAAAAAGGAATACCCTGATGAAGAATAAATGCATTACATTGTTAAACCTCCAAAGCAAATCCTGCCCCCCTTGGTATATAAATAGTTTGATAATAAATAAAAGTGCAGAAATCCTACTTTACAATTCCAGGTTTTAATGGGAAGGGTTTGGGGTATATAATACAGAAAGCAGGGTATGATGGTGCCTCCTTTTTTGCAGGAAAAAGCTGCTTTGACATAACATTAGTACCTCTGCCTCAAATGTTTCTTAAATGGATTGAACATTTTCAAATGTTATGAAAACGAGTGTGAACCTGCAGTGCTTTGCAAAGAAAGTGACACCATAGTGGGTCAGGGCGATTAGTTTTGAACCGCAGTAGATGAGATTTATTTTTTCCGAATTGTTTTCATGTACCTTTCCTCCAGTATTTCATATACAAACGAAAACAAAGTCCTGTTGAACACAAAGTGAAAAAGACTGGGATGAAGTGGTCCTCTGCCTATCCATGCAATGTTTCAGACGAGTGATGCCTTAAGGATTCATTCAAGATATTTCTATTTGCTGATGTAGTTTATTTCGTTTTCCACAGAGATGGCAAAGGGTCCAATCAGTAACGTCTACATCACTGGAGGGTCCTCAGCAAATGGAGCCCGTTACCCTGCAAGCAGGTGAGAAGTCTTTCCTGTAATTGTACCCTATAAATGTGCCGGATAGCAGCTGCATTTATCACCCGTTTCATCCATTAACCATTACATTCTCTCCTGTTCAGCGACGGCTGCACTGACGGCACCATGGCCTCCAGCTCGAACGACTCTCACTACAGCGGGTCTCGCGTGGAGACTCCAGTGTCTTATATGGGGGACGATGACGACGAGGAAGAGTACGACGAAAATGACGATGAAGACTAACCCGTCTACACTTCGCCACTCCAACAAGCACAGTCCTTCAAAACCACCTTTCACCGTGGGAACTTAGTCCCCTTTTGTGTGTGCTTCTTCAACCTCCCCCCTCTCCCCCCAGTTCCCCATGCCTGTTTTTCTGTCTGGCTTTCTCAGGGGTCTAGATGAATGACATGGAAGAACAGAGGTGTGTTATTGCACCCGTCTTTTTCTGCTCCTGATCACGTGCACCTGCACCGCAGCTTTGGGGGAAGGTGTCGTCCAAGGGAACTGTAGTCTGTGGCCACGCTCTCTCAAGTCTTTGTATGTTCAATCCACTTCTCAATAAGCCATCCCACTTATAAAAAAAAACAACCTGTAAAACCTACTGCTGTTGGAGAATGTATAATGTACTTGTTTGAATAGTTATTCCTATTATTTCGCAATTGCATACGGCAGACATGATGATCAAAATGTTCCAAGATGGCCAAAGTGTCTGCTTTAACGTGCTGTTAGTGCAACACGGTGGTTTCCGAGTGGCCTGACCGTCGCCATGGCCTCCCAGGATGTGGCTCCATCACATGTGTTGATACTTTCTTGTTTTGTGTTCTGGGCAATAATTTGAAATAGTTTCTTATTCTCCGTTGTGTTGGACTGGCTTCCTTCTGTTCCTGTAGGCAGCTGCTTTTCCTGATCTTGTTTGCTAGTTTTTTTTGTTTTTTTTGTATTCTGGATTTGAGGAATTCTGCGTCACCGCCCTTGTCAACGCCTTGGTAGTGTTTACAAAATGATGGCACCAGCAAGGTAAAGACTTTTTATAACCCAGGCTCCTGATAGGTAAATAAGCTTTGTTTGTGAATTACGTATACGAATCCTACGACGATTGTAGCTTATAGTATCCTTTAGAGGCCAGTGGTAAAGATAGACCTTACAAACAATTATTGGTGTATTGAAATGTGTGGTTGCATAGATCTTTATGTATACTCCCTTCAAAGATCTCCCTTTTAAAACTTGGCAACACATGTACTGACTCTTCCAAAAACCTTTTCTGTAATCTAATATAAGTTTGCAAATTAAAATATAGATTGTTTTAATAATTTTGTATTTATAATTTATGTGGGTTTTATGCAGAAAATACGATTTAAGTGTCGTGATGGAAGGACAACTTTCATTTGTTTGCAGGTAAGCAGAAATCCAAAGTACTGGAATATAATGAGATTTATTTTAGCATGTCAATCACTGAGGCTTTTTAAAAAATGTCACAACGGTTTTCCTCCTTTCCTTAATCGGCAAAGGACCGTGTTAAAAATTACCGTTTTTAAGAGCCTCCATTGATTTGTGGCTGGTGGTTCTTTAAAAAAACAAAAAAAGCCATTATTGTAATAATGGTTTAGGATCGACTCCCAGACTTAAGTGCTGGTGAAGTGTTTGGGGAGGGGTCTGTTCTTCAGAGGAAAGTCACAGGCAACATGTTAAACACTCCGAAGAAGATAGCTGAAAGGTGAGACCCATCAATAATATGCTCCTTTGCTCACTTATATTTTGCTACTGTAGTTTTACATTTATCAGCTTTTAATTTAAATGTCTACATATTCAAACACTTGCTGACTTTAACACTGGGCTTATTTAAAAAATAATGCGTGGGCCAAGTGTTTTTGACATGGAGAGCCGATAAGGGTCAAAACGAAGCATGTGCTGCAGACACTTCATTTCAGTGCTAAAAAGCCAGACCAAAAGATAGCAAAACATGTCTGTGCATGATATTTACAATAGTTTTATTTCTCAAAATGTCTTCCACATTTCAAAGCAAAGGTTAAACATTGTTTTCATGTTAAAATGCGGGTGTGAATGTGAATTTAAAGGGTTATTCATTGCTGTCAATAATCCTGTTCAAACCAGCTGCACAAAAATCTCTCTTTCAGTGTAAGTGATGCAGTTCTTTATATTTTTTTAATCATTTTGTTAGTTCAAAAATATCCTACACACAAGCTGTGTAAACAAAGCAGTATAAAACAAAGCAGTATATGTTTCTATTATGAAAACTAATCTGCATAAATAACTGCTGAAGCCTCATATGAGCTCCAGCGGAAATTTAAAATGTATCTTTGAGAAAATAAGACTGATGACTTTTTTCACTATTCACTTGCATTGAGAATTAAGACAGGATCTCTTTGTGGCTACTACTACAGACATTCACTAACCTGGATGTCAGTATGTAATGAGATATAATTGAATATTTCCCATTTAACGTCATATTTTAATTTACTTTATAAATATAAAAAAACGTGCTTGGTAAAAAAAACACATTCAAATTAATTTTGATATTAGGATTCTGGGTATATTGCAGACAATATTGCTTGGATTGGGCAACATGAATGTCTCACTGCTAATTGTCAATAGCCAGTTGAATGACTGAGAGTCCATCTTCATATGCTGTCTATGTTCCTGCATGTGCTCACACACCGTCTGGGACATTAGGGTCATAATGGATTACCAAAAGATGATGACTCATCTGTATGTGTGTTTTAGTGAGGGTCGAGTTGAGACGCCAATCTCTCAGTCCCATTTCTCTCTCATGCTGCCTCACCGCCACCTGCGTCTTCTTATTTCCACACACTTTTAAGCAGCATTTATCCTCTGCGTCTGTTTTCTCTTTGCAATGTCTCTTCTCTTTGTTGCCTAGCAGTCTCCTGCCCTAAACATGGATATCGGAGGCCTGACCACAGTGGTAGCAAACTCTGCTTACATCAATGCTCGTGGAAGTTTTGATGGCACCAATACAGCAACATCCCGGGATAAAAAGTACCACTCCCGCCTCATGCTGCCCAACCTCCCAGTGTGTGAGGGCCTGAGGGACACCCTGGATGTGACCTTTGACTCAGTGTGTGTGGAGCAGCCCATCGGCAAGCGCCTCTTTAGGGAGTTCTTGGATAAAGATGCAAATGTAGAGTATCACGGGGCTTGCCGTTTGTGGAAAGACCTGGAGGCGTATGACATGGCTGAGGATTCTGGGAGGGCAAAGAAGGCCTCAAAGATAGTCCAGCATTACATGGAGCCCTCTGTCAAACACTTCTGCTCCTTCCTGTCAGAGGACCTCATCGCCAAGGTGAAGGAGAACCAGGAGGCAGCAGGGCGATGATCTGTTTGTAGCAGCATGGGCCACGCTGTTGGACTTCCTGCGAGAGACCCCCTACTCCTCCTTCCTGGAGAGCCTGTTTCTGAAGAGGTACCTGCAGTGGAAGTGGCTGGAGATGCAGCCCATGGACGCAGACTGGTTCCTGGACTTCCGTGTGCTGGGGAAAGGTGGGTTTGGGGAGGTGTCGGCCTGTCAGATGAAAGCGACGGGGAAACTGTACGCCTGTAAGAAACTCAACAAGAAGAGGCTGAAGAAGAGGAAAGGCTTTGAGGTGAGAGAACTATTGTCACTCCTGATAATATGCTCCTTTATTCACAATATTCATTAGCCTTTAACTTTAAAAAAAAAAAAAAAATGGTTTTGAAATGGGGAATGCATTAACAATGATCAACTGTTCCAAAACATGTTTGACATAGAGGTTAATTTAAGTTTAAAATATACTCTTTAAATGCTACAAGTTAGGGGTTGTATTTTAGTTTCTGATATGATCGGACCTATATTATCTTCTCTGAATATCAGTTTATATCCAGCCCAGGTTTACATAGTGTGCCATGATATTACTAAAATAATTGGGCTGAATGTATCTAAGTAAATGTACCCAACCATTGTAATTAGAAGTACACATTTGATGTACTTTAATTTTACTTAAGTATTTTCTTTTCATGACAATTTATACTTTTACTCCACTACATGTAAAAGCTGTGAATAATTTGTACAAGTTACCCCACAAACGTTTACGTTTTTTGCACACAAAACATTTAAAGAGATTATAAAATATGAGGGTTCGTTAACAATGAATCAATTAACAATGCATCGTCTATAAATACAGCTGAAATTATTAGCTATTAATTAATTAACCAAACTATTTTGATTATTTTAAGTCACTTTTTATGTGAAACATTTTTTCTGGCTACTCACACGAAAGGATTTGTTTTGCACCGAGTACTTACATTTTTTATAATTTTACTACATTTAATTGACTTTGTTTACATACTGCATTTTCAATGAAGGACTTTAACTTATTTATTAGTGTTTTGTTAAGATGTGATTTCTTCTGACAGCACTGCAGTAACGTCCCATATCCTCGCATGAGATTTCAGGGAAATGAAAAGCCCTTTGAAATACTTGCATGCAGTGATTTGATTAAACGAGGCATTTTGCTGGCTTCATGTTGGAAGTGTGGGACTGCCACCGCTAATCATCTTTATCCCTGCCGCTGTCTCGTTTAGCCCGCAGTATTAAACTCTGGGACAGGGATAGAGTGATTACTGGGGGCTTTACTGGAAAGCTCTTCAGAATGGAACTGCTTGGCACAGTTACATCTTGCCCTTGGCTTGTCTGAGGACATGTTTTGAAATGCACTTTAACCTCTGTTTCAAATGGCATGTATATCAGCATACTGGCCTATGGACGAGAAGTCTCTGTAGAGAGTCTGTAACAAGTGTTTCCTCTCTTGAAAAAATGTCTTTTGTACCACTGTTGGTCTTTCCAAATGTCCTCCTGTAGGGGGCGATGGTGGAGAAGAGGATTCTTGAGAAGGTTTACAGTCGCTTCATTGTGTCATTGGCGTACGCCTTCCAGACAAAGGAGGAAATTTGTCTGGTGATGACCATCATGAACGGAGGAGACCTCAAGTAATGTCACATTCCTAAAAATCCCATGTTTTAAATCACAAACATCCCAAAAACGGAGCATAAGTTCCTCGTCCCTGCTATGCTGCTGTGGCGTTTACAGTCTTTTTAATCTGACAAACAGAACATGTGTTTCTACAATATCTTTTAAACATCTCTAGAGCCAACAGAAGGTGTGCAGTCGTCCAAAGGTCTGACATCAGAGAGATTTTGTAATGTGAAGTCAGCTGTGACACCAGATGGGAACACACACAGTATCAGTTACCCCAATGTGCCACACGTTATTTCTAAATAATGGTTCCTACAGTGTGTGAGGGGTTACATGTGATAACATGCACCTTGATGGCCTCAAACTGTTGTTTATCTGTTGACAGGCACACGGACGCAGCTGCATGTGTGTCCGTTTCATAAGGGACAGCTTTATGCAAATATTTAGTTGTTTTTTTCAACAGACATTGGACTAGAAATCACAAAAATAACATGAAGTGGTTCCCTAAAATGCACCCAACAGTCAAAAGAAGAAGAAGGGAAGACTGTAATTTGCAAAACAATAGCAGAATAAGAAGGATTCTATTATGCAAAATATATATGTGTATAAAAAAACCGAATTGAGCTTAAGCTGTATATATTTAATCCTGTAAATGTATGCCTTTTTATGGCCTTCATGCTTTAGCCAAAGCTCACCTGTTCTCCGTTCCCTGAAGGTACCACATCTACCTGGTGGATGAGAACAACCCGGGCTTCGATGAGCCCAGAGCCTGTTTCTACATCGCTCAGATCATCCAGGGCTTGGAGCACCTCCACCAGAAGAGAATCATCTACAGAGATCTCAAACCAGAAAATGTGCTGCTGGATAATGATGGTAATGCATTTCTAGTTGAACAGTAGAAGATACAGCATGGTCCCTGTGTTAATGATAGCAAATTACGATTAATTATTTATGTTCCCAAAAAGGGAATGTGCGTATATCTGACCTGGGTCTTGCTGTGGAGCTGCAAGAAGGCAAAACACAGACCAAAGGATACGCTGGGACTCCAGGTGGGTCTCCTCTGTTTTACACTATTTAGAGGTTTACATTTAATGTGTACTTAATTATAATGTGTTTATCCATTGCTTGGCTTACGTTCTTACAGGGTACATGGCTCCCGAGATGCTGAAAGGAGAGAAGTATGACACCTCAGTCGACTACTTCACTCTGGGAGTCACGCTGTATGAGTTCATTGCAGCTAAGAACCCATTCAGAAACAGAGGGGAGAAGGTCAGTCACCTTTCATCAAACTACAACTTGTGCACAACATGAATTACTTGTGAAATGAATGAGAGGAGGGACACTTTTGCCTGTTTTAGGTTGAACGTGAGGAGATGAAAGAGCGGATGCTGACCCGGGAGGTGACCTATGAGGAAAACTTCAGTGAGAACGCTCGCTCGCTCTGTGACGGGCTGCTGGCCAGAGACGTTGAGAAGAGGATGGGCTTCAAGAACGAATGCTGCGATGAGATCAGAGCGCACGCTTTCTTCAGTGACATCAACTGGAGGAAACTGAACGCAGGTGCAGAGTTGGGAGAAGTACTCAGATCTTGTACTTGAGTGAAAGTAGAATTACCAGAGTGTAAGAATACTCTGTGACAAGTAAAAGTCCTGCATGTAAAATGTTATTCAAGTATACAAAAGTATTCAAATCAAAATATACTATATAAGTACTGAAGTAAAAGTACTCATTATGCAAGATGGTCCATTTCAGAATAATATATATTATGATATGTTTTGATTATAATTATTGATGCATTAAAGTGTTATCAAAGCTGGAAAGGTGCAGCTAGTTTTAAGGACTTTGAATACTGCAAGTATACATTAAAGTGGACCTATCATGCTATATTTTAATAATATAGTGTAGGACCATACCTATATAAGGCATATTTATATATTTCAAAATACCAAACAGATCATGCATTTCAGCCATGCCTCATTTCGCTCAATTTGAAAAATGTTAGCTCTGTTTTTGCAAGGGCTGATTCAGTGAGAACAGCACCATCTACTGGCCTGGCATATGTACTACAGCGTCTCCAGCGCTTTCGAACGGCAATGGCCGTGGCTGTCTCCTCCTGATTGGTGGAGTTGGCCCAATAGCCGTTGTGCCACCGTCCTGACGTCAGGACAGTGTTCAAATCTGGATCAGTTTTTATCAGATCCGTTGCAGCCCCTTTTTTAGAGATTTGGGTATGGAGGAAAATAGAGAGGGTTGTGTTTTCTGACACTTGGTGAGTTCCCTGGAACACCGGGGACACATATTCATATATAAAAGACGTACACAAGTGCATTTTGCATGATAGGTCCCCTTTAAGTCTTTACGTTTTGATTATATTTCACATCTTTAATCCAAATCTGCTAGGTACAAAATAAATGTAGTGGAGTCAAAGTACACAATTTACCTCTGAATTGTACTGGAGTAAATGTACAAAGTAGCATAAAATGGAAATACTAAGTAAAGTACAAGTATCTCAAAATTGTACTCAAGTACAGTACTTGAGTAAATGTACTAAGTTACTTCCCACCTCTGCGCAGGTACTATCTGTTTCCTATACCTTCACGTGGCATATTTTTCAGAGTTGTGTATAACTTCTACAGTTTGATACAAACATTTGCATGAATGAACTCTACTCTAGATTCAAAGCTTAAAGGGCCCATGTCATGGCCATTTCCACTGATCATAATTCTATTGTTGAGGTATACTAAAATAGATTTATACTGTGCATTTTTCCAAACTCACATTGGTTTCTCATACAGCATCTCTGTAAACTACGTGTATTCACTGAATTTCACTCTCTGCCTTTAACGGCTCGTTGTAGCTCCCAAAGCTCCAGCCCCCACCCTCCCTGTGAGCACAGTGTGCTCTGATTGGTCGGGACGTTGTGAATCGCGCTGAGCTCCGTGGAGGTGTTGTTTCCTTGTTAGCGATACACAGCCAAACACAGCCAAACTCATCCTGAGCACACACAAAGTCACAGCCGAAGTAAAAACAATAAGTGTGGCTTGATATTGAGTAAGAAAAAGGTTGATAAACGCTGTGAGAATGGGTCTGCAGAGAGAATTTCGCCGCCATCCCAACTGTCTGTTATCAGCCTGCAGCCAGGGAGGAGAAATCAGCTGAGCTGCCTGCTCCCTGCACACAGATGTGTGTGTGAGGAAGTCTGTGGATTGGTCAATTTGGACCAATCAGCGGGGGCTTAACGTAACGGCTCCGCGGATTGGTCCATTTCGTTCCGGGTACGGCTTGACATCATGCCGTACCCGGAAGAATCAAATGGACAATGACGTATCTCCAACGAGGCGTTTTGGGGAGGTATTTTCTGTGTTAGAGTTTTACTCGCTACAGGGTGTACTTTGAGGGTTTGTGACTCTGCAGACCGTTTACATGCATAAAAACCTTCGTAACACACAAGGGGACGGGTAATAACCGGAAAAGCATGACATGGGCCCTTTAAGATTTTAAGCTTAAATCCCCCTAAAGTTAGATTTTTAATTTCTCTCCAGGAATTCTGCATCCACCTTTCGTCCCGGACTCTAAAGTGGTGTACGCTAAAAGTCTGGACGACGTTGGAGCTTTCTCCTCGGTGAAGGGAGTGACCTTGGATGATCCTGATAAAAGCTTTTTCGATGAGTTTTCCTCAGGCAACATCCCCATCCCCTGGCAAGAGGAGATGATCGAAACAGGCATCTACGGAGAGCTCAATATTTGGGGTCCTAACGGCAGCATCCCCAAAGACCGCAGGGAGTCTGTAATGGAGCAGCAAAAGTCATCAACCTGCTGCGTTTCGTAGAGTCATGGAAACACCTTGAAAATACTAATAATAATAATAGACTTATGCGTCATGAAGACTCAGGAAAGACACATCTCTTTTGGACTCACTAATCTCAGTTCAAACTGTTTGTGACTCTTTGATTAAATGTTATTACTTTAAGTAATAATGTTAAAGGTTTTATCCCCAAACTAAGTAGCACAATGGTGACTTAGTCGTATACCCCCCTGATGAAAGCCCTGGGGTTTACAGCATTGCAAACCAGGTGTGTTTGGCGACATTTCCTGGAAAAATCCATCTTATTGCGATAGGTGCCACCAAAGAGAAGAACACTGAGATCTTCCAGATTACCCCTTAAAATGTAGATTTAGACGTTTCAAAAAGAAAGTGCTGACATGATTTCCTCTTTGTCTTCTTTGCCGTTCTCTCAGTCTTTACTATTTGTGTGTGCATGTGTTAAATGAATGTAATACTTTTAGGTTTAAAATGCATTTAAAGTATAGACTTATACTTTGAATAGGGTTAGTCAAGTGGTACATTCGAGTGAGAGTGACATGTTGAACATGTACAAATGTTTATTTACTTCTCTTGAATATGTGCTTCTATAGAGTGTTGGTTGTTCTTATTGAGTCTACTGTCTTTTAGTTTGAATATAAACAGCTACTACTGTTGCTGAAATACTAAAAGCTACTACACCAGAAATGTACATTTTTGAAAAGAAATTGTTATAGATTTATTTATTTATTTGTTTATTTCATAGATCATAATTTACTCTTTGCACAAAGAAAAGAAACAAGAAGAGCAGAGCACCTTTCATATGAGTAAATATAGTCAAGTTGTTATGAAATACACCTAAATATAGAGACACGTTTACAGCAAATGTTTTTATTTTTGTTAATTAGATTAAAATCAGAGATATGAACTGTATAGAAAAGTGCTGGCAAATAAAATAACTTATTGTAATGGAAATGTGAGCTTAATTTCTGTTATTTCCCTTACAGCAGCTACAGCTCTGTCCAGTGATGTTGTGAACTAAACACAGATCAACACAGAGGATATGGAATTGATTGTATCCTCCAAATTATGACCTCTAACATCTCAGGATCCTCCACCTCCCGCAGCTCCTCGTCACTCCTTGGCTGTGGCTTTGTAAATCCTCACCTCCTGCTGTGGCAGCTCGGCGAGCAGCGTGGTGTCGAAGCTGCTCTCGAAACTCTCCGTGAACTTTAAATCTGACTGGAACCGGATCTTGTTGGCCCAAAGCAGCGTCGTGCGACTCCCCGGTCGGCAGAAGTGCTGCATGGTCTCCAGCAGTTCATGGATGGATCCGTGGGGGTAGACCACGTCCGCAGCGAGCACGTAGTCGTAGTGGAAGGCCGGGTAGGGGAAGTCTCTCTGCAGGTGCTGAGCCCAGGTGAGGGCGGACACCTGAGGGGTGTAGCGGCCGCGACCCCTCGTGTTCCTCAGGAGGTTAAAGCTCAGATTAGATAAGATGTCAGGCAGGTCCGTAGCTGTCACCCAAGCACCTGGAAAAGAGTAAAGAACACCAAGGCAGCTGGAGTACAGATAGTAAGAAGCATACACTGACTTTTTCTTTGTTGACTGATCCATTTTTAGCTCTAGTGATGCTGTGCCACTATTGGATGGATGGCCATGAAAGTTTGGTCAGACTACTTTGTTCTATTAAGATCTAACGTTGATCCTCTGTTTTTTCTTGTAGTGCCATATTTAGGTTGACTTTTCTCTGCATTGCCAATAGTTCACACATTCATGTCAAGTTCAATTTGCATGAACATTTGATTAGTTTTCACAGATTGAATGCTGAATTGCCGCTATCGTATGATGTATTACAGATTTGCATTGCTGTCTTTCAGAAGAGTATACTTCTTAACGCCCAAGAAAGGTTTGTTTTTATAGTTTGAAAAAAACGTACTTGCAATCCACTTTGACATTATCTCCAACAATCAAACAATGTCTCAATATCTACAGAATACCATAATCACTTTCTTTTCGGCGAAATATTTTTAAAATGCAAGAATGTTGGTGTGGGTGGATATGCACGGTCCTCAGAGACAATGCATCCCTATGTGTTAGTGACCTCCTGATGTTTCTGTGACTTCCACCAATAGGTCAACATTTAAATTTGGCACAAAAGATGAACAGACGCCATTAAGATATTCCTTGCAATAAATCCTTCAAGCTTGCCATCTAGCACCACAATCAAATGGTACTGGGATTTTTTTTAAGTAGGTGCTAGGAACATTGAGTGTCAAGACCAGTGAACGTTTTTGCCAAATGGACTTTTATAGACTTACCGAGCAGACTGGCCACTATTGAGAGCAAGCCAGTCCCAGCTCCAATCTCCAGAACTGCTTTGTCCATCAGGTTCAATTGCTGCTGGTTATTCTCCAAGAACTGGCTCAACGCTATCGCCTACAAAGTAAATCACTCATGACTACATTTGCAGCCAAAGAGTAGGTCAGAGTATGTGTGCATTACACACAGTAGCAGGACGTACCCCGGGCCAGATCAGAGCACCAAACGTATCCATAGACTCGCGGATGCTGATGTCATGACCTGCGATATAAAAAGACTCATTCCCCAGCGCGTAGTAAACACTCGGCTCCCAGATGTTCCTTCTGTCCAGAGCCTCTCCTGCCATCACGTTCTGGTCTGTTAATGCTGCAAAGGAGAGTGTTACATGAAGGTTATAATTCTGCAGACCTTATTCCAAATCTGCTTTTCTGCAATACAGAAACTAGACTAGGGATGGCGGTGCAGAATTCAGAAAAAAACATAGTATAGAGTGAGTCTTCAATCTAAATGTACCCTCATTTGCGACCCCCTGTTCCTCTGGTAGTTTCCCATCCTGTTTGTCATCCACCTCCTTTTCCATTACTTGATGCTTCTCTTGGACATGTTGGCTGACTTCTGACAATGTCTCCATAATATAATCACTGAAGCCTAACGTTAAAGGAAAATAAGTTTAATCAAATGTTGTTGTGACATGAGCTTTCATTAGGAGCTTATGACTACGACACAATTTACATTTAGTAATCACTCTGTATTGCCGAAGTCTTAACGGATTGTAACAAAACCTAAAAACGGAGTCCTTGGTCCTATCTAGGTTGCCTAAAACAGCTTTAAGACTGATTTATAGAATCTGGGCTGGTTTTTCCGGGAAAATTCACAACATGCTTATGCACGTTCCCCAATGTCTAGCCTGTCTTTAGCTTCCCTACAACCCCACCAGTCAATATCTAACGTAGCAGAGTAGTTTCTTGACTGGATAACTTTAGCTAACTCATCAAGATTTCCAGGGTTGATCTGACTAGCTTGCTGTTTGCAAATACATTTACAGCGGATGTTATGAAGCAACCAACGCCAGATCCATGCTGCCACAGCTCGCTGGCTACCGTTAGCTTTCTTGCTTGCTCATGTTATCGCATAGTCACGAAATTAATTTATTGATTTGTTTTCACCAACACGAATTCCCCACGATTTTCAAAGCAATGTAAATAATAACAAATTAGAAGGACAAAGATATTTAAAAAAAAATACAGATTTCAGTATTCTGACACAGAACAAATTTTAGAAGCAATGTATTTAAATTGGTAGTATGTTTCGTGCCTGCACCAAATAATAACAAATTAGAAGGAAACAAAGATTTTTTTAAAATACAGATTTCAGTATTCTGAGGCTCTGAGCCCCATTTCTTTTCCTCACTGACGGCAATAAAACTCAGATTACTATTTTAAATAAAAGGGTTTGGGTTAGGCTTAGGGTAAGATATTGAGTAAGAACATGTTTTTATGAACCACACAGCTTCCGGTCTTCCAAGACCCGACCGGACAAAAAGACGTGATGCAGGCACGAAACATACTACCAATAGAAATACATTGCTTTTAAAATCGTTCTGTGTGACACGAAAAAAATGCGGAAATCGTGTTAAATTAAATTAATTTCGTGACTATAACACGAAATGCCGTGAGACTGGGTTGGTTATCTTTAGCAAAATACTATCTGAGTGGAAATGTAAGTTGGCCAGCTTGCCAAATAACTTCACTAGCTAAAAATATCCATCATACTAATGATGTGTTTTGACAAATGGTGGTCATTTTACCCAACATTAAATGTTGTAACTGTAAATGCTTAATAGTACCAATAATCCAAATAAAACAAACGTAAATAGCCTACATTTGAACAAACTTGGTTAGCACCTTTTATACAAGACATGCAGCTCAAAGTGCTTAACATTTAAAACTGAAAAAATGTGAGATGTACTCTAGACACGAGCTGAGGTAGACTATCCTCCAGATTGGTGTTGTGTCTCTATCAGACCATGAGTATGTGTTGAAATAATCATTATTGAAATTGCATTCACAGTTTGATATTCAGTTAGGCGTATAAGCTGTGTTGACAATATGCATATCTTTACTTTTTATTATCCGGATCATCACAAACCATCACAAACAAAAAATAGATTTTGTGTACTAGTCCCTTTGGCTGTCATTGGACTCCAGTGTGGAGCCCAAAAACACAGCTGGTTAAACCCCCTAGGTCAACAGCATAACATTTCTCTCTACCTCTCCATGCACATATGCACATTTCTATGCAAATATGAAGGACACAGTTTGATGTAATTTGAATCTAACCACTTTCATAAGAAGTCTATTAGAGTTATTTACGAAGGTCTACTTATTCACAGAAACATTAAGAACAAACACTTTAAATATGTTGCTGAAACATACCTGTACGAAGCAGTCACTGTTTCTCTTGTGTGTCTGAATGTTTCTCTGCTGTGTTCTTGTGTTTATAGAAGCATCATCTGTGACACACCCCTGAGCGAGGCTGCAGCATTGGGCCGACAGAGGCAGAACAACTGATTTATAATCTCCGACAGATATGAGCAACCCTGACCCCTCCCAGCTGTGTGGATATTCTATATATAACTCAAACAAAATCAACAACATTGTGGCTTTATAATCAGGTTTGACATTTGTTATTTTTTATGAAGAGAAATCCTAACATCTGCGATCATTGTTCCCTCCTCTCATCCTTAATGAACAAGACACTGACTTTCAGCAGGGATTTCAGGTAGGACTGTAATGCCAACACTTGTTCACACTGTGCACGGTGCCAACATATTTACATGTTTATCCTTGGAGGGAGATCTTTATGAGGTTTGTTATGGTATGTGAGATGGATGTGTGCCACCTGGAAGGCTCCATGGAGAAAAGTGTTGATTTCTAAAGTAATTAACAGGAGCGTTGACAACTGTTTTCACAAGCCTGACCTGAAACTGACACTTTTCCCTTTGAATTCCTTCATCAAGCTTTTTTCATTCCTCTCTTCTACAGACGGCATCTCTAAACCTGCATGCTTTTCCTTTCTCTCTACATCCTACCTGCTAAACCACTTGGACTTCAGTTTGTTAGTAATTTAACCTTAGGATAGGATACGACATTAAACCTTTGAATCTGAATTTTATTTAATGTAACATTTTAACCCTCTTTTAGACTGCAGGATCCTCCTTAAAACATCACAAAATCAACGACAACAATTACGAATATTTCAGTACATTTTTCCAGGGAATTTATAACTTTATTAAATGCCGATGGTGGAGAGATGCATCGACAGTCTTCAACTTTGAACCTGATTGCTGCAAAATTCCGAAATCCTGATTCTTAAACCGAACACACACAAATACATAAGCCTAACATAGATTACCCTCCCATGCTCTCCCAAAAATGACCATACCTTCAACCTGTTCTGACCCCCCCTCCTCTTAATCAATCGCATAAACATTGTTGCATAGTCCACAAAAACAACATATGCCATCAACTGCATCAGTAAATATGAACAGTAGTCACAGATTTAATCACCAGAAGAGATGCAGACAACTCAAATATAATGTCATCTACGACTTTTATTATTATATATGTCAAAAACAGTTTTAGAAAACACCTGTTATAGGACTATTTTGCTTTTAAATAAAAACATTTGATGCCCTCAACATTGTGTCAAATGTCACAAGGTAATGAATATCAATGCTTTTAAAAAATAAGAAAATTCCAATATTATGATGACACACTGAAAACCCCCTTTCATTGCTGATATTTATCTGCACTATAAAAAGACGTGGTGTGAATATTGTTTACAGATTGCAATAACACGCACGCACGCACACACACACACCATATTCACCAGCAGACAACTGGTTGTGGAGCCAGAAAATGGTACTGACAGATGGCAAGCAGCCATGGTCTTAAAGGATTTCCAGAGCATCAGGATCTCCAAACCAGCAATCCAACGCTCTCCATTTCATTCATCAATCATTGTTGATGAATGATATATTGAACAGATGTTGTTGTTTTGCCAGACTCCCGCCCGTTTGATTAATTTCTTATTAATCGCCTGATAATGACCGACCAGATCTGGGAAGGTACCAAGTCTTAAAATATGATATTGTTATGCATCCATGCAATGTGCAGCAAAGCCAGTTTCAGAGTGCAGAAACATATTTCGACAGTGATCTCTTAAATCCAGCAAAAGTCACTTTACCAGGTATTGGAACAATGGAGAATGTGTGCACGGATAGAAGACCAACAATGAGTCTATGGTGAGTAATTGGCAGAGGTGGGAGTAAGTCCTACATGTGCAAGTTATGAGCAAGTCTCAAGTCTTGACCTACAAGTATCAAGCAAGTTCCAAGTCACTGTGGTGAGAGTCAGCAAGTCAAGTCAAGTCATTGCTCAGGTCAAGTCAAGTCAAGTCAAGTCATACGAAATTCTGATGAATAAGCCCAGTTTCCGCATTTAAATCAGTTAAAAGACAGTGGTTATGAAAATGGATTCAACCCACACTATGATCTTCATTACATACACAGTTAATCATTTGAAATCTAATTTAGACCGATGACAATCATATTAGATCAATATTAACCCTAGAACTGCAGACAATATAGCTAGGACTCAGTCAAAAAGTCTGTTCAAAAAGGCAGAATTCCAGGTAAGAAAATCATATATGGCATTTGCCATTACACATATTTAATTTAAATGTCTGTTAACACTAGAACCGCCAACAGCGTCAGCACCTACATAGATATCATTTTCAAATCATTTCATTTCTTTCTCTTCATAATTTCCTTATAAACTAAAAGTAGGACGATTTAAAACTCAGTTAATTGGGTTAATTTAGAAATTGCTTCAGTTTATCATCATAACAGATCAAAAAGTTCAGATTCATTTTTACAATAAATCAAGGAATGATGCACTTCTACAAACAAAAACAACATAATTAAAACATTTAAACAAACTACTAAAAGTAGATGAACTACATTATTCAAAAGTTTACAGTAACTTCTGATAATAACACAGGGGAAATAAACGAGGCATCTCTTTTCCTCTCTCTCTCTCTCTCTCTCTCTCTCCCTCTCCTGACAGCCCGTCAGTATCGGGGTTAGTCAAAATGAATCCCTTGGCGGTTCTAGTGTTCATTTACCGTTTTGTCTTCTCTTTGCTTAATCGATTTGAAACCAAGTCTAACGTAGCTTAAACTTAACGTTAGCTTTCTAGCTAACACAACACATTCACGCACCTCTGTGGGTTTTTTTGTAGTGACGAATGAAGTTGGATGTTGTGGTGGTCTTGTCACTGATCGTTATGCTGCAGACCCTGCATACCGCTGTTCTCTTCTTATTAGCGTCATCGACAACATAATCCTTGAATCCAAACTTCACTATTTTTGGAGTAACGCTAGCCGCTGCCATGTTAACTGACGCTCCTGCCGTCTAGTGGGTTGCCAGGTTTGCGCGCACGGCGCTATAATCACCCAATCACGTTTTTCGAAAAAACTAAACGTAATATCTCACTACAAAAACAAACGCAAATATTTAATTTTAAACAGACAAGTCCTTTCAAGTCATCTGTCTCAAGCTTAAGTCAAGTCTCAAGTCATGAATACCAAGTCAAAGTCAAGTCAAGTCTTTTATCAATGTTAGTCAAGCAAGTCTCAAGTCAAAAAATATGGGACTCGAGTCTGACTCGAGTCAAGTCATGTGACTCGAGTCCCCACCTCTGGTAATTGGTAATGCATAAACTAACATTTATCATATAGTTAGTTTATTGTTTTGTAAAATGTTAAGGGCTCATGTTCAGGTTCATATTTGTATTTTTTTCCTCTACTGTGATGTGTCTCCATACTTTAATGTTCAAAAAGCTCTTTATTTTTCTCATACTGCCTGTGCTGCAGCACCTCTTTTCACCCTCTGTCTGAAACCAGAGCCCAGTCTGCTCTGATTGGTTAGCTGGAGATGTCCCGCCACTTAGCCTATCCTTACAGTGTGTTAGCCAATTGAAGCGCAAGTGTAACTTATTGATGTCACTATGTTACTGAAGTAAAGAAAGGAGTCCAGTTTCAAGCAGGGTGTGTCTCACGTGTCAAATGTAAACCTTTTTCTCAAACCAAAGAATTAGGATTGTTAATTTGTTGTTTGTTTATATCGGGTGAATGAATCTACAGTATATGTGGAGCAGCATGCAATTAAAATAGAAGGATAAAGAGCGGCCAGTCATCACCTCGCAGTGGTTAATCCTCACCTCCACGTCCAAAGGTCAGAAACAATTCGTGCAGGCCAGTGGAAAATGAGTCACAGTCACACACAGAGCAACATGTGAGTCCCAGCTGGATTACAGTAGCACTGGGATGTGTGAATACATCAGCTAATAGGCGCTAAGGCTGCTGTATTTTAAATTGGGAAGGTGATGAATGGTACTTAATGAGAGTAGCCCCATTAACAGAAGAACAGAAACATGTCAACACAGCAATGTTGCAGACAGAAGACATGTGATTTTAAATCTTGGTATGAACAGCTTCCATTGCCATGCCATGACAGATATTTGGCACAGGAACAGATTGCTTTTGTGACTTACTTATCACCCTGTTCTGGAAAAAATAAGCCAGAATTCCTTGAGTTCCTGTGTTATGTGAGACGGGCCGGCTGTATTTGGGTCCTAGAGGGACTGGAGGTTTAGATACAACCAAAGGACTGATGGTTATGTCAATGTTTCCTGGTAAACACTCCACACCTTAACTTCCAGTTTCCAGAATATTCATCACGTACACCTAGATCAGGGGCGTCCAAACTACGGCCCGGGGACCAAATGTGGCCCGCAGACTATTTTTAATAGGCCCTCAGCAAATTCAAAACGTATAAGGTTCAAGGTTCAAGGTTCTTTATTGTCAAACTAACATAGCTACAGAGTAATTATGTCGTTGAAATAATAATAATAAGTATAATGACTTAAGTATAAAAAACTTCTACTTGTCTTATATTGTACTGCTTAAATATATATGTTCAAATATTTTACACAGTATTCATGTGTTAATAAGCCCAAATTTCAAATAAATTCAGTCAATTCATGTTGAAAACATGTTCTAACAAATCTAAGTTGATAATAAAAAAGCCCAATAACAAATTCACATAACAACCTCGAAATATACCCTTCATATTTCCTTTTATTATAAGCAATCTGAAGCTTCTGTTTTAAGGAATGAGCTGCTAACAAAATAAATAAAAGCTCTGGAGAGCTGTGATGTAGGCTGTTTTTTTCTTACAGCATTTTCAAGTATCAAGAATAATTTACCTATATTGGATTGATTTTTCCAACTTATAACTTAACTTATGAGGCGATATACCTCAGTGAGTGGCCCAGCCCTTGGTATATTGTTGTGTATGTGGCCCTCGGTGAAAAAAGTTTGGACACCCCTGACCTAGATACATCTAAAGCTAAACAACCCTGCAACAATCCTTCCATTGAAGCTGCAGTTTGTGGTGTTGTTGGATTGTATTGCATTATCCAGAAAGGTATTTCTTGTATGTCCAACCCACTATAAGAAAAGAGTTAATAACAAAACAAAACAGATGCAGGAAAGGCTCCAACTAACAATTATTTTCATGTTTCTTAATCTCTCAATTCATTTATTGATAAAAAAAATTGGTTGTTTGCTCTGTACAATTTCAAAAAATGGTGATCAATGTTCCAATAAGGTGTCCTCAGATACAGTAGCTCCAACTCAACTATATTAAGCTCACTGTCATAGAGAAGTAAAGAAGATCATATTCATATTTACAAGCTGGAATGAGAAAAATATTGACTTAAAAATGTTAACTTACAACAATAGAATTGACTAAACATCTAAAAATGTAAGCAATTTATCTAATAGTTGACAACTCGATTTATTTAGCAGCTTTAATTGCAGGGCTCCTCTATTATTTAGACTGTATAAGTTATAGATGAGTTGTACACTAACTGGCAATTGAGTGTAGAGCTTTAATCTACTAGAATCACATTTTCTTTTTTAATGTGAAAAAGTATGGAAATAAATATTAAACTCTATTTTGAACGGGTGTGTTCAATCAGCACTTTCTATTTGTGACACACAAACATTGTACTTAACATATATATATATGATAAGTGAAATTGAATGTAAATGTAAATAAGTACGTCTAATTATCTTGGTAGCCTACCTAGTGGAGACACATTTAAATACCCTTAAATGATACATAATTCAACAAAAAAATAACACATTATGGTGTTTTATTTACAGGATATAGCTTGTTATCAAAAAACAAATATTGAATATAATATACAACATGCTCACAAGTCCTGATTTTCCAGTTTTATTCAATAATTGATATCATGGTTCTTTCATTCAGTCCATTGTATTCCCAAGATATGATTTTAAACTCAAGGAAAAGGTAGCAAACTCTTCATCATATCAGCCCAAGGACTAGATAAGATATGAGGTGTGTCTGTATATCCATTAATAGGAGCAGATGAAAGCCTGAGGTTCCCAGCAGGTGAAGTCATTGAACTTTCCATTTCCTGCAAAACAAATAATCAGCAGATCATAAACACAGTGGTTAATATTCAAACGTGGTGCAACATCAAAGTAAACAAGTAAATTATCTATGTCAATTTAGTTCAGGTTTAAACCAGTCCTACCCTGTGGCAGCAATTCCACGCAGTCCTCCAAATCTGACGTGTTGTTGGGCTCCCCTGACAGCCAATCAGCAAAGCCCCAGTGAGAGCCGTCCAACCAGATGAAGCGACCGGTCTGATAACGGGACATTAATGAGGGGAAATGAGATTGGGAAGAGTCATTTATTTAATTAATTCAACAGATACAAACACGGTAATGACATTATGTAATAGGTGAAGGTGATTATTAACAGATTTATGCCCCTTTAAGATAAGTGAGTTGAATGCACGTTTAAGGGTCTTGAACACATTGTCCTCAGTGAATATAATGTTAAAAGTCTGTTTCTTGTTTTATATATCTGTCCTTGTTGATGTTGCTGCTTTGATGCAAGAAAAATGTCAGACTTCTGTCTGAAATTAAAGTTTTATCCTATCTTATCGTATGGTAGACATGTATTAATTAAAGGGGACCTATCATGCAAAATGCACTTTTGTACGTCTTTTAGACATGAATATGTGTCCCCGGTGTTCCAGGGAACTCACCAAGTGTCAGAAAACACAACCCTCTCTATTTTCCTCCATACCCAAATCTCTAAAAAAGGGGCTGCAACGGATCTGATAAAAACTGATCCAGATTTGAACACTGTCCTGACGTCAGGACAGTGGCGCTACGGCTATTGGGCCAACTCCACCAATCAGGAGGAGACAGCCACGGCCATTGCTGTTCGAAAGCGCTGGAGACGCTGTAGCACATATGCCAGGCCTGTAGGTGGTGCTGTTCTCACAGAATCTGCCCTTGCAAAAACAGAGCTAAACAATTTCAAATTGAGCGAAATGAGGCATGGCTAAAATGCATGATCTGTTTGGTATTTTGAAAAAAAAAAAGTATAAATATGCCTTATATAGGTATGGTCCTATACTATATTATTCAAATATAGCATGATAGGTCCACTTTAAATGATGTTGTCACAGCAGCACACAGACAACAATAGTATAGGTAAAGAGGGAAGTCAAATCATAAATAATGAGAGGTATATTAAGGCTTATATAAGAATAGAATAAGACAATTTATAAAACATGGTGAATAATCGAGTGAAAAATTACTTATTTTTAAGCTGCTCCCATGTGAGAAACAGCCCTCTTCTACACTTCAAGTATTAAATAAAAGGGTCTTATAGAAGTCAGGTAAGTGACTTTCTTTGGAAAAGTGTAAATGTATGATTGATGATGTAGTCTGCAATGATATTGTTATTTTAGCTTTCCTCGTTTTTTTTGCTTAATGTTTTAAATGTACATTCCTTGAGACTACAGGAAGTTTTAATTAATATTTCATTGTGAATTTTTTGCACTTTGGTTTACTTTCTTCTTTGCCTTTATCTTGGGACCACGTTAGAAAAAGTGTTTTCACTTTAAAATATTATTTAAAGTTTTGTTTATCGGATTGATGATACTGTATGATCAAATAATGGCACTTTCTGATTGACTGCACTAATATAGAGATGCTATTTAAATATGATACAGACTATGTCGTGCAAAAAAAAACATAAAACATGATTTATAATCTGATAAATGACGATGGTATTGGATATGAGATACAGTATAAGGTGGCTGAACATACACACCTCCAAATATCTCAGCCCTCCGACCCAGGTGCGAGTCAGACCTCCGTTCTGCCGGATCAGGTTCATCACCTCTCTGTGGACGTGAGGGCTGGGGATGGAGGCCAGGTGACCTCCAGAGAAATGATCCTGGCAGAAGAACTGCAGAGAAACAGAGAAGAAGTGAAGGTGGGATAATGCACATTATCATATAAGAAGTTTAGCTTAAAAAAGGTTTAATAGTTCATCTTTGAAAAACATAATATTGGTACCTGTGGGACGCACAGTAGGAATGTTTATGGACATTCAACTGTGTATTGAAACAACAAACTTTATATTTGTGTTTAGTTCTATTTAATGAACCTGTAATTGCCTGATGTATGCCAGCTATAATATTGAATAGGTCAAGTTAAGGTTAAAAAGAGTACAGCTCACACAGGCACAGAGGGCAGCTCGGGGTCCTGCAGGGGAAACTCACAACAGGTGAAGGCATCACTAATTAGACGGAGCCCGCAGTTTGCATCGCATCCACGCTGCAGTGATGTTGTTGTGTTTCTGTATGTTCAGGTAAGCTAAAGTGGTGAAAAGTACTGACACAGATGTATAATACATGTGTAAGTGTAACAAACTAACGCTAATGCAGATGATATTTATATTGCACGTTATCGTAGTTTTACCAGAGAATTGACGAACATTGCGTCACCTGCGAGCTACTGTAATATGGACTAATGCCAGTATGTTATGTATGCTTGTCAGTTTGTTAAACGGGTTGATTGCCAGTCGACTTTTTGATGTTATGAGTAATGGAATATTGAGAATGTAAACGCATGTTTATGCAGATGCATCACTTATCAGACTTAGCCAGCTGTATGCAGCCATGTTGCATTGATGTGCTTATAGAACTAACATGTTTAACTTGTGCACGCCTGGAAGTGTGCAACATACCTCAGCATCTGCAGCCTTCTTTGGCTCTTTGAAGAACTGGTGACACTTCCCCTCGATCATCACACCAGGGGAACAGCTCTGCCCTGTGGCCAAAAGGGGAAATTACACACTTTATTTTTAAACGATAGGTTTTCCAACTCTAAAACACAACTCACATGCACTTATAAAACATTTCTTTAAAGGGCCCATGTCATGGCCATTTCCACTGATCATAATTACATTGTTGAGGTATACTAAAATAGATTTATACTGTGCAATTTTCCAAACTCACATTGGTTTCGCATACAGCATCTCTGTCAAGCATGTGTATTCAGCAGTATTCACTTTCTCCACTAAACGACTCGTTGGAGCTCTTGCCCCCCCCTCCCTGTGAGCCTAGTGTGCTCCGATTGGTCAGCTCGGCCACTCGTTCTGATTAGTCAACCACCAGAGAGGCTGCGCCCATGTCAGTGCTTTTCCCGGCTGCTCTCAGCGTAACATCAGTCTTATCATGGCGTCGGTACAGCGGTATATTTTATATACATATATATTTTTAACTGTTGTTATAGAAGAGTGTGACGGCCCCAGGGCCTTTGTCTTACGATGGGGTGGAGCTGAAGAGGGTAATCAGCGCGATCACGGACACCTCCGGACACTACGGCCCCAGTCTCTCTCCAAAGCGGCTGCAGGAAGACTAACTCTGCGATCCTCTCAACCACCTATCTTTGCATTTACCACAATAAATGTGCCGTGGTTTTGTAAACTCGTGTATGTCTCCTTGTCTTTGTGGCCTACGAGCCGCTCATAACAAAGAGTAAGTTATTTTTACCCGTTATAAACTACTACTGTTTGATGAGAAATCAAATCATGGTTTGCTATATATGAATTCAGGGAAGAAAGGATAGGCCTACTAAGTATTTCCATTAAACTTTATTTTTAGAAATGTACAAAATGAACATAAATATACATATATACACGGTATATCATCCATTCCTCCTCCTCTTGCCTGCGCACAGCCGGTGCGGTGCGGTGCCTTTTAGCACGACGCCTCAGTAGTAGTAGAATCCCTTCCCCGTCATGGATTGTCCGCCAGGATCTGGCTGGACGAAATCAAATGCAAATCACAAAATATTAGAGAAACTTAGTTGTTTTAGATTCGTTAGTAGTAGTTGTGTAATGAACAGCTTGCCTGCTAATATGCTAACCTAGCTTTGTTTACCTTGGTAGCTAACACGATATGAACGTTAGCTTGGAGGAAAGGCAACTATAATGCAGTGTAATAAAACTACTATGAACAAAAGCTAGTGGTTCATATTAGGCTAGCAATAACGTGTTTATAATTGCAATCGTATACGGGTATTCTGCTACCATACAATGTAACTTGCATGAATACATTGTTTTGCGCTAGCATACAGCTAGCCTCGTTAGCTACATGCAGTATATGTACGGTCACAATGTACGGTAAACCGGAGTATACTGTATGAGTATTCCGTGTGTGTGACTGCAGACATTCTCCTGCCATGACAAACATGTAAGGCCATCTGCTGACATTGTAGTTGATATATTTAAACGCTAGCAACGTAGCATCACAAAAATGTTTTTCTGACCAAAACTAGCTCAAGCTCCGTGTGTTAGATCGCTACGCCAGCTATAATGTAATTACGTTTCGCGACTGACCGGCAAATCACCCGCAGTATACTGTCAATAGGTATTTTGTGTGTGAATGCAGACATTCTCCTGCTATGAGATACATGTATGCAAGGCCATCTGCTGATATTAGAGTTGATATATGGAAACTCTAGCAACTTAGTTAGCACAGTTAGCACTGTGTCAATGGCTTAGCAGTCCAACACAGTTTACACATTTAAACAGTCTTGTTTGATAAATACACAAATAACAATGCAAACTTACAGGTTGTATACCCAGATCTTCCCCTGCTCCAAACGGTCCAAACAAGCTGTGCATATCCGGCCTCAAACTGGGCAATGTTTTGGAAGCTTTCGTCTGTGAAATGCTGGTTCTTCGAACCTCTGGAGGAGGAACACGCCGCTGCTGGTGTGGCCATAGCTCTTCGGGATTGGTCCATTTCGTTCCGGGTACCGCATGACATCAGGCGGTACCCGGAACTAAATGGAAGACTCAAATGGGCAGTGACGTATCTCCAACGAGGCGTTTTGGGGAGGTATTTTCTGTGTTAGAGTTTTACTCGCTACAGGGTGTACTTTGAGGGTTTTGACTCTGCACACCGTTTACATGCATAAAAACCTTCATAACACACAAGGGGACGGGTAATAACCGGAAAAGCATGACATGGGAGCTTTAAACTGTAATCAGTTCTCTTTTCCAATCTCTTTATTAAAGTGTGTGTGCATCATTTGTTCACACTTTACCTTGCATGTTGTGTTTTGGTGATCTTCTTTCTTCAGGATTGTTTACAGCCTGCCTCCTAAATGCCCTTGGCTCTCTTACATGATTAATCACAGGACTGTCTGCTGCCATTTGGGACATCTGGTCTGTTTGGACAAACTCGCTCGCTGTTTCATCCATCATCAAATAGTCGGACCCATCCACCATGGGAGAGCCCATCCTAGCATCTTCATTTGGGAAATACTCCTCTGAAGTTTTCATCGGCTGCCCAAAGATGTCCAATGCTGGCCCTCCTTCCTCTTCTGTCTGCTCCGTGTCTTTGTTCTCCAGTGGCTCTAACTCCATGATTGGCTCGCCCACCATTTCATATTTTCTCTCTGTGTTAACTTCTGACCTGCTGCTCAGTTTCTCTCCATGCATGTTGTCATCATCCAATGCCTCCAGCTCCATGATTGGCTCGCCCACCATTTCATATCTTGCCTCCATGTCAATGTGCTTCTCTTCAGTCTCCTGGTTTGATTTAGTCTCTTCCTCAAGGTTCATTTGCACCGGAAACTCCTTTTGAGCTTCGTTGTCATCCTCTAGTGGCTCCAACTCCATGATTGGCCCGCCCACTATTTCATATTTTCTCTCTGTGTTAACTTCTGACCTGCTGCTCAGTTTCTCTCCATGCATGTTGTCATCATCCAATGGCTCCAACTCCATGATTGGCCCGCCCACTATTTCATATTTTCTCTCTGTGTTAACTTCTGACCTGCTGCTCAGTTTCTCTCCATGCATGTTGTCATCATCCAATGGCTCCAGCTCCATGATTGGCCCGCCTACTATTTCATATTTACGCTCAATGTCATTCTCCCACCCTTCTTCACCCCCTTCCTCAAAGTTCTCTTGCACTTTAACCTCCAGTGTCTCCAGCTCCAAAATTGGTTCTCCGTCCCAAACGTAGGTATTCTCTCTTATAAGCCCTTCTTCCTCCTCTGAGTGACGTTGATTGACAGGATTTTGATTCTGATATGCCGTCCTCAAAGACGTTTCCACTTCTAAAAGCTCCATTTCTCTCAGTTCCTCTTTAGAAATGTCATCGTCCTCCAGTGGGTCCAGCTCCATGATTGGCTCGCCAACAATTTCATATCTTCTTTCCATGTCAATGTCCCTCAATTTTGCTTCAGTCTCTTGAACCTCTGATTCCACCTTAAAGTCTGGGTTATCGCTGAGCTCTGGCACATCCTCAACTGGTTGGTTTTCCAGCTCCATGATTGGTTCTCCATCTAAAACGTAGGTCCTCTCTCTCATAAGCCCCCCCTCCTCCTCTGAGAGATATTGATTGACAGGATCTTGATGCTGAAATGCTGCCCTTAAAGACTTTTCTGTGTTGCTCAGTTCTTCTTCAGACATGTCGTCGTCATCCAGTGGCTCCATCTCCATGATTGGTTTGCCCGCCATTTCAGATTTGTCCTCCATATCAATGTGCCTCTCTTCTGTTTCTGCCTCTTGAACATCTGGCTCCACTTTAACCTCTGACTCCACCTTAAAGTCTGGGTTATCGCTGAGCTCTGGCACATCCTCAACTTGTTGGTTTTCCAGTTCCATTGTTGGTTCTCCATCTAAAACGTAGGTCTTCTCTCTTTTAAGCCCCTCTTCCTCCTCTGAGAGACGTTGATTGACAGGATCTTGATTCTGATTTGCTTCAGACACATTGTCTTCATCCAGTGGCTCCTGCTGCATGATTGGTTCACCCGCCATTTCAGATTTGTCCTCCATATCAATGTGCCTCTCTTCTGATTCTGCCTCTTGAACATCTGGCTCCACCTTAACCTCTGGCTCCACCTTAAAGTCTGGGTTATTGCTGAGCTCTGGCTCCATCTCAACATCTGGCTTCACGTCAACTTTTACTTCAGCCTTAACCTCTGGATTCAGATTTACTGGAGCTGGTTTTACCTGTTGCTCCTCAAAGCGAGGCCGGACTTGTGGTGCAGGGTCCTCCAGCACCACATGACCCTGCACAGGAACCCAGTCTCCCAGCAGAGGGCTCTGGTTGTCTCCAGTCAGCACAGGGTTCGGTGCAACTCGTGAATCAAATGGTGGCCTTCCCAGAGCCACTGCAAAGAGAAACAAATGATAAAAATGCTGGTGAGAAAAGGCAGATTAATTGACATGCCACCATTGGACGACATTGGGCCATTGGACACACACCCCTCAGACTGAAACACACACACTTTATGATCTGCAGACATGTTGTTTTTCCTTGTAGTATAGTTCTCTTTTGTTTAGAGATATCTTTGTTGTGATTTTGCTTTTTGTAGCTGTTTGTTTTGAGTCCGTTTGTGATAATTTCTCACCTTTTTTGTATAAATGTTATAAAGAAAAGCCTTATGGCTTTAATCATATTAAGTAAGCCATCCACCCACCCATTATTTTGTATTTTAGGGAACAACTAGAATCATGTTAATTTGCTTTTATGCAGGACGGCATCAATAAGAGATAAGACCATTTCGTTCCTATTCAAACCCAATTTCCATTACCTAAAAATGTTCACATTAACTTTTATTTATAGCTTTCAAGTGTGCATGAGTTAATGTGCCTTTGTAAAGCATTTCAATTCGAAACAATTACACAACAGACACAACAGAATGATTTGTACATGATATGATGAGATAAACATAGCGTTGATAATTAACTAGACTCTCTTTAGGGACAAAGCTCATAGAGCAAGTCATAGAAACATCATTACTGGAAATAAATGATTAAAATTAAGCTGAGACTAGATGCTAAATCTTCAAGTAATTAGGAAAAATTACCCTTTAATGCAAAATTAAACGGAGCATATTTGTAAAACACAATGCATTAGAGGTAAACCATATTCTGGATAACACACAAAGTAAAACAATTATAAAATCTCTCACCTGCGAGGCTCAGTGAGAGCAATGCCAGCGCCTTCATCTTCTTCCGTTTGAATAAATCGGTGTTTAGTATTGTAGTCTGTGATTTACTGTGAAATGTGCCTCGTAGCAGTGAGTTATTATCCTGTTTGTGCTGTTCTCGTTGTGAGTGCTATTTATCTGTTATTAGTGGTACACCTAATCTTTATGAAAGCCATAAGTCCAACCTCTTTTATTTCTACTGTCTTGTAAATCATAAAACTATGCCTTCCTGTTAACTTATCTTGTCCAGAGCACATATTTTTTCTCTTTTGTTTCCTTATGGCATGCACTTCATAATTAAGAGGGTAGAAAGTTCACTTTTTCAAGGCCCTACCAAAGAAACAAACACCTGGGAAGTATTCAATGATACTGTTCCTAAAAACATTTAAGAAATAATGTAGTTGTACTTGATGAATGTTTTGGTATTTATATGCAATACATGTATTTAAAGTGGACCTATCATGCTATATTATAATAATATAGTGTAGGACCATACCTATATAAGGCATATTTATACTTTTTTTTTTTCAAAATACCAAACAGATCATGCATTTTAGCCATGCCTCATTTCGCTCAATGTGCACTTTTTTTACCCCTGTTTCTGCAAGGGCAGATTCAGTGAGAACAGCACCACCTACAGGCCTGGCATATGTACTACAGCGTCTCCAGCGCTTTCGAACGGCAATGGCCGTGGCTGTCTCCTCCTGATTGGTGGAGTTGGCCCAATAGCCGTAGCGCCACCGTCCTGACGTCAGGACAGTGTTCAAATCTGGATCAGTTTTTATCAGATCCGTTGCAGCCCCTTTTTTAGAGGTTTGGGTATGGAGGAAAATAGAGAGGGTTGTGTTTTCTGACACTTGGTGAGTTCCCTGGAACACCGGGGACACATATTCATGTATAAAGACGTACAAAAGTGCATTTTGCATGACAGGTCCCCTTTAAGCTTATGTAGTACTGATTGGATTTTATTTCTCACAGCATACATTTGGCCATGTCACAGCAGGGAGAGAATGAACTCATACCAGTTCGATATGAAGGTATTTGTATGTGTGTATTTCTATTTCCTGCTACTTTTTTACTTGCACACACAACATGTCAGAGGCAACAATATTGTACTTTTTACCCCACGTCATTTATCTGACTCTTTGTATTATGTATTATTATTGGTCAACATTAAAGTTCATTGATGCCTTGGTGAAAGTCACAAGATACCTGGCAGTATATATAGTAAACAACTGCAACAATAATGCATTCATATTTTTCTTTAACATTGTGTGTTATATAGGTTTTTGTGGATGAAAAAGGCTAAAATCCCTCAAGAGGGAGTTTCTTCCGTAACATAGTGACATCACAATGCCACCCTTTCAGAAAGAGAGTGAAAAGAGGTGCTGCAGCACAGACAGTATGAGAAAAATGAAGAGCTTTTTGAACATCAAAGCATGTAAACACGTCACAGTAGAGACACTAAATACAGATATGAACCTAAAAAAAAAGCAAAATAGGGCCCCTTTAAATAATATAAGATTATTCTGAAGAATGAGAAGTTTTCATAATATTTCGATGCTTCTTCTTTTGTGCATTTTTTTGGAGTACACAGTTAAATGCAGAATCTTACTTGCAACAAAGTAGTTTTGCACCGTGGTATTAAAAATCTTAGTACTTTGTTTACAGTGGCTGTTGTTGAAGAGAGGAAGAAAATGGAACAATGTATTTTATTATATAAAGCTTAAATATGCTAAAAACTGTTAAAACTCTGAATGCCATAGTCATGTATCGTATAGTTTAATGCTTTAGCAATATAAACAGGATGTCTAACATAAATCCTGACATGGGTGCTCATAAAGACCCGTGATGCAAAATACCACAAACCCCTGTGGAATCAGGCGAGAGGGAAACAATAGACAGTGCACTCGCAATCCTAGAGGATAATGGCGGAAATAGTCAGGTCCTACCCATAGAAGGAGAGACAGAAGCCCAAAGACAATTTAGGGTAGAAATGAACAGAATAAGAATGTTAACCGAAGTCCTTGGCAGTCAGGTGAACCTGAACCAAAGACCAGGAAGGGAGGTAGTAAGGTTGAATTTTGACACCCCTGACATCCGAGCACGCCCACATACTACCCCAAGAAGGGCATATCCCCTCCCCTCACCCCGTCACATTCGGCAAATCCAAGGGCCCCCTGGTCTGACCCAATCATAGAAAGTGAACTCGTCAGAGCACGCCGTGCAGCCAGTCATTTTGCCGACAACGTAGGCCCAATCCCAAACCGCCCCCTACACCCTACCCCTACACACTACCCCTCCGTTTGCGCGTTCGCGCGGAGGGTCCGCCACATTAAGTGCTGTTCCAAACCAACGAGTGTGGAGCGGTGTGGAGGGGGGGTGGGCTATCAAGCCCTCAAACAGCGAGTCTGCATCGGTGCTGACTTGAGACCGGTCTCTACCTGACCGGAGTCACGCTGTGTGTGTCCGTCAGGAAACACGCTGTTTACAAGTAGTTCCAGCAAACATCCACTGATAAATTGCGATGTTAACAACCTCATGATAACCTCATATTTTTTTAACTTAGGATCATACCTGTGTTTAGTCTAGAAAAAGGTAAATGTGTGCATTTTATTATAAAGTTGTGTATATTTACAGACTGTTGCAAAAACTAAGAAGCTTATAAACATCAGGTTTAAAACTAAAAGAGCTTTACAAAAAAGTAACACAATGAAAGATGTTTGGAGTTTTATTTGAGTTATTAATTTACATTTTTTGTCTAAGAGATGCTGATTTGAAACCGTTGTTACATACAGTTACGGCATTTCCTGTTTCTGCCGGAGAGAGGGGAGTTTGTCCCAAAGCTTGCCGCTGTATTTACTCCCTCCATCTGACAGGAGGGAGCCTCATTCAGCTGCGAGTGTGTCTACAGACGGAGTTCACGCCACGGAGGGGTAGGGTCGAGGGAGTGGTTTGGGATTGGGCCCTAGAGTCCCGGAATAATAGCGGACGGCGGCTGAGAAACCAGATAAGAGCAACTGCAAGGTCACCAAGGCCCGGTAGATGGGAAATTAATGAGCCAGATGTGTCCCCCCCGTGGCTCCCGGAAAGACATGTAAGGTTCAGGGAAACGGCTAGGGCCAGAAACAAAAAATCAAAACCAATTCCCCCTATGAGACAAAATAACATAAACACCTGGCCTCTAGAGCAGTGGTTCCCAACCTGGGGGGCGCGCCAAAGATCACAGGGGGGGCGCCAGGCCTCAGATGATTTGAGGCTAAATATCATATTAAGACTTTTTTTAAATTTTATTTTTTTACATATAATTGTAACGCAATACATGATTGTCACTAAAAGCCTTGTCTCTACATTACAATAAAATATAAAAAATAATTGATTAATTAATTTGAATACAAATTCAAGTTAGTAGCTATTATAGGCATAACAAGACAGAAATGTATAATTCTTTCTTTAATAGAAATGTTTCTTCGGGGGGGGGGGGGGCGCAACAGCGGTAATTAAAGTTTAAAAGTCTCAAAAATGCTACTGGATGAATGTGAAGTATTTTGTTAAAGGAGGATGAAAGCGTAATCAAGGAGCACTATTGGAGTGAATTTGATGGTTATTGGACTCAGGATGAATTCATTTGGATTCCCGCTGTATCGCCACGTGCTGAAAAGTGCTATATAAATAAAATTGCCTTGCCTTGCCTTGCCTTGCTATATGAAGAAATTAAAGGACGGCGCAAGTGGAAACAATTCCCAAAGGGATTAAACTGTTTAAAACACATGCTCAAAGTAAGCCGGATTTTGCCGATGTGTGGATACAAAAGTCGTAAATAATCTAGAAAATGGAGGAGACCGATCTGATCGGAGCAACTGTGACAAATAATCTGAAACCGGCATGGACAATGACTATGTTTTAAAAATGCGCTTATCCAGAAAAGCCGGGTTTGGACACTTTACGGGCAGAAGAAACATTTCTATTAAAGAAAGAATTATACATTTCTGTCTTTTTATGCCTATAATAGCTACTAACTTGAATTGTTATTCAAATTAATTTATCAATTATTTTGTATATGTTATTGTAATGTAGAGACAAGGCTTTTAGTGACAATCATGTATTGAGTTACAATTATATGTAAAAAAAAAAAAAAAAAAAATGATATGATATTTGGCCTCAAATCATCTGAGGCCTGGCGCCCCCCCTGCGATCTTTGGCGCCCCCCCCAGGGGGGGCGCGCCACCCAGGTTGGGAACCACTGCTCTAGAGGATGAGCCCCTATGGACATCAGGAGGAGAAGAGGAAACACACTTCAGACCTAGGTGGTTAGGAGATGAGGAAAAGGAACTTCCTAAACTGATAGATTCAGCGTGGTACAACGCTAGCATGGAACAAAGGCAAATGATGCCACAAACAAGAACAGGCGCAGCCGTACTAGGACAGGCAGGGGTAACTCCCAGGTGGAAAATTATGCACCTGGGACAAGGTTATGATCAGTTCAGGAACATGTTAATCGATAGGGATCAATCAGTACAAAACTATCTAGAGGGAATGCAGTGTGGTGATGAGCCAGACTGCCCCCAACCCATAGATAGAGCAGAAAGAAACTTTCCCTATCCAAGGGCAATAAGTACCCCTCTCAGTCAGGGCGCTAGAAGTTTCACCCCTGACAGCCCAGAAAGAGAAGAGAGAGGTCAAAGGTCAGATCATACATATGTCAACACGAATAATAAATCCGTGTTGGAAAAAATCCCATCCTTACTAACCATGGTCCCGGCGAGGAAAAAGGGACAACAGATGAGCGAGTATATAACCAGTTTAAAAGAAGCTGGCATAAGTGAGGAAGATTTAGATGGGGACCATATGGGAATGTATCTGAGACTCACAGGGAGTATAACGGCATCCAAGAATCAGAAAATCAGCGAGCTAGCCACAACATTTTGCCTGCCAGGACAAGATCCTGACGAAGGAAAAATAGGTAGGCTAGTGGAGCAAACCTGGAATAAGGAACTATCAATAAGAGAGGTTATGGATATCTTAGTAGGAGAAGGTATGAGTTAGGGATGCCAGAAACTGACCATGATCAAATTCGAAAATCGGACAGCCCTGGCGAATATTAATCGATTATTAGAAGGAGCCTAATCAACCCAAATCAAACAGTAAGCACGCTGAATAACTGTAAATACAAAACGTGCCTTGATCTGGCAAATGGATTCTGGTCCATACCAATCTCTGAGTGTAGCATCCCAAAGACATGTTTCACCTTTGACAGGAAAGGGTATGCATGGACAAGGTTACCACAAGGGTTTAATAACTCACCTAACATATTCCAAGCAGCAATGGAGGAAGTGCTAAAAGAGGAAGATGTGGTAATCTACATTGATGACGTGTACCTCACTCATGAGGATGAGGAGGATCACCTTGACGCTCTAGAAAGAGTAATAAGGAAATTAGAAAAAGCAGGCCTAAAAATTGGTTTGAAAAAGTGTGAAATAGGGAAAGCCACGGTCAAATACCTAGGGTTTAAAATCGGACAGGAAGGAAAGGAAGTAGCTGACGATTACATAAAAAACGCTACAGGAATGACTGTACAAACAGTAAAACACGTAGAATCCCTATTGGGAAAATTAGAGTATGTATCTGCACACATCCCAAACTACTCCTACATGGCCAGCAGGCTACACAAGGCAAAAGGCAGGATTAGAAGGAAGGATGAAGATGGAAAAATGATACATGATTTTCCCCTCACAGAAGAGGAAATAGAATGGGTAAACGAGTTGAAGAACTACGCAACCCAAAATGTCATAGGCCTTAACATGAGGAAAATAGGAAAGGGTCTAGTGGTAAAAAGCCATGTAGAGGCAAAGTATTCAACAAAGATGAGAAAGTTCCCTGCCTACTAACATCCATGACCTTCAGTCAAACGGAACGTAGGTACCCAGATGTAGAGAGGGAATTAGTACTATGTTCAAAACATTACCCAATGTTGGTACATTTCGGGGCCCCAGAATCAGTATTGTTTGTGACAGACACTCTGATCATAACCCTCTAAGCAGACGACAGAAGGCAGTAAGGCCTTAGCTAAGAACCCAGGAGCTAAGAGTGAGGAGAGAGTAGACCTTAAAAACGGGAAAGAGGAAACAGTACACAGCAGAACCCACAGGTCAACTCAGACACAATTACAATGTAAATACTGTGGGAAGGATAGAATAAACATAAGTGACTCAATATATTTTAACTGGACATTATTCCATACCAATGGACCAAAACTAGTACCTTATGACTTTAGTAGCAATGAAGAAAAGGGTTTCAAAGAAAGATACCGAGGAGGCACAACAGGTGGGATAAATCCAGCCCAAATAATATATAAACAGACACAAGATGGGAAAATATTTGGACACCATATAAAAGTGCCAAACTTCGCCCACGACATAGTAAAGAAATGGTACGACGAAACTAATTACACCCAACCTGGTTTAATGCAGTGGACAGGTGATTTCCTCACAGAATTAACAAAGCAAGTTAATAAGACTGATTTCTGGTACTGGGCTGGACCAAAATTCATAGACCAGGGAATGTTGTTGTCAGATACAGAAGGAGGGAATGGAGAAGACACAGCAGAACACAGGAAATGGGGAATATTACAGTCAATGATCTTAGATCGCACTCGAGTCGCCCCAGGGGAGTCAAAAATTAGAACGAGGGGAGTGGGAGGGAGCCATAACTGGACATTAGCAGTATAAAGGTCCTGTGAGAAAGCCAGTGAAAAAGGTGACTATTGAAGGAATAGCAGATTTTCAGCAGAACCAAATAGCAGCTTACATAACAGGAAGACTCGCATACGACAGCTCAGATTACTCAACCCTCACACTCCCGGTAATAAATGTAAGGGCAACAAGAGGAAGTGTATGTAGCAGGTGTCAAGAGAATGTAGGATACTACAACATATACCTTAGTAAACCTAATAAGGAACCCCCCGGTAAAGAATGTGCATACATCACCAAATTGGATCAAAGGACTAAAATATGGGTAGAGACACAAAAGAAACTCTCATTGGAAAAAAGGGGATTTCTATTATTCATATGACTATGGAGGTAGCACTATGACGGTATATGAGGCTGCCATATTTGATGCAAAAGTGATAGGGAGACGAACATTCCTTGGACATACCCCAGTAAGAAGGACAGCCCCAATAGATCCCTTTGAAGCAAGTATAGCATCCCCTAGATTCCTTAATGGCACAAAAATTGCAAATATAGGTTCATTTATATGGCGGTCAGAATTTACTGACAGAACGGCCACAAAAGACATAAGAACGGGAAGATATGTTGCGGTAACCAGGGCAAGGATGGATAGACTCATAGTGTTCGACTCTGACAACTATCCCTCCCTTAGCCCCCACAGAACAACGTTAGGTGGAAGAGCGGCTCTATTTCTGAGCCTGTGTAAAACACCAGAGGCCCCTGTAATTCTTAAAGGAAATGTGAAGCAGTGGCCGCAGGAACAAATGTGGGGCCTGGCCCCAATTACGCCAATGGCATGACAGAGCCTCGCACTACTCCCATCAGTTATGGAAACCGCAGAAGTAGATTGGTCAAACACATACCCCAATGGTGAAAAACACCCCTTTTGGAAATTACATTATAAAGGAATGTGTACCCCATATTGGACTACCAGAGACGGAAGTAATGATTTTACTCTATCCAATGTACTATGGAGAATCGGTCAAAGTTTTGTTAAAGTAGCAACAGAGACTGGAAAAGGAATGGTGATGGTCGCCAAAGCAGGTTATGATAATGTGATTAAACCTGTAGTTGAAATGGTATTTTCAATCGTACAAAAAGTGGCACTAGGACTAGGAATATTCGTTGGGGTACTAATAGGAATTGTAATTCTGTATTTCTTCTGCAAAATGTTCGGCAGCAGAATCTATAGCATGTGTAAGCGAAAAAATAAATATGAAGTAAGGGGCAAACCCCGAAGCCCCCGAGATCAGCAAGAAAAAGGGGAAGTTAGAAAGAGGAAGAAAGCAGGAGGAGACTCAGTATAAAGATAAGGTCGGGAGAGTTGAGTAGCACAGAAATCCAAGACAACACAGGAGACAACTGAGAAACCACAAACCCCGAAAAACAGCAGGCAGGAGAATGCTAAGTCAAATACAACGAATGAACATCACCGGCAATACAGGCAGCCACATAGACATCACTGTGGTAAGGCAACTACTTACTGCATTAGGATACGTGTGCATGTCAAGTGTAATTACCTCTTTTTGTTATCAGAGCGTGGCAAAATGGTTGTTTACAGCAGAAATGTATAGCTTGGTGAATATTGGGAGATGGTTTGCGATGGGGAAAAGGAATGCATCAGGCAGCCTAATATTCATGTGCATGGGGCAAAAGAAGCTACAACTACCCTTATGGAGACCAGTAAATTACGGGTTGTATGTGGTATCATGTACTTGCAATCTGTTTGAATATTATCTGAGACCCGTCTGGTTGGTGGATGTCTGTTTCACCCTGATAATAGGGTCGACCGTTATCACCTACCTGATATGGGCGGCGAACAGATGCAAGCACAAGAGAAGCAAACAGCGGCTCTATGTATTTCTTAAACAGGGGTTAGGCTTAGCCCTCGTGGTAATCACACTAAATAACCTAGGACAGCCGGGAGTAACTTGTATGATCTGCTATGTATATTTTACAGAAGGAAGATCTGCAGGGAGGCGTACTCCAGGCAGTATATCATCAACATAAGTTTAACATCCACAGTTCATCAGGGAAAATAAATATCTGTCCCTGCTGTGATACAGAGGGAACAATACAAGTGTTCACTAAACCAGGAAGCTCAGAAGAAATAATACAGATAGTACAACGAAAGCAAACTACCTGGAGACCAGAATGGCAGACAACGATAAACTCTATGAAGAAATATGCAGTGGAATCAAACCAGACCGGCTACTGGCAGATGGAGAACCAGGATCATTTCCATCTTTCCTGTCCTCCCCTCATACCCTTGAAGAACCTCAACATCAACTGGCCAACATTCCCAGAGCCCTCAGTCACCAAAATTGTGGACGGACAGCTCGGGGGAAACAAGCCCGATAGACCCGGGAGCTCCAATCCACCCAGGATATCTACTGAAGTGGACCAATGTGACGAAGGGACTGACAGAAGGGAACCAGCAGAAAGAGATATTCGAATACAACTTCAGCCCTTGGAGCCTGGAGAAAATAGAACAAAGCGAGGAGGTACCCCTCATCACCCAAAAAATGATGGACCTTCAGATGCAACCCTATCACCCAGACTTGGACCCCCGTCTCTCCTCGATCAGGTCAACACACTGGCTCAATCCACAAGCCAGGCACCAACTGCTGGAGGAAAAAGGAGCAGAGGTGGGAAAACCTGTTTTGAATATCCGCCGAAAGAAACGAAGAAATACCAGGGGAAGGTCAAAAGCTCTAACAAAGGTGAGCCACCCAGTAAACGAATCCAAATTGACCAAACCCCCCACAAAGATGAAGAAAAGGTGAGCAAACAAGTCACCTCCAAATGCACAGATAAGACAAAAAAGCAATGTGACCCAGCGGACGCAAGACTGTGTGCGTCATGGGCAGGGGAGTATGTTGCAGGAGAACCCGTAGAAGTATCACCCAGAGTCCCGCCAGGATGGATGGTAGCCACATGGGGAGGCAACTACTTCATCTGCCCAAAAGAAAGATGTCCACCATACGGGAAATGGCTGGACAATGAAGAACCTCCCGTGCATATACAAGTACAGGATGCCTTGAAACCTCTGATGAAAAAGGTTTCAGAAGAAAATGATTTCCGAAGCCAGAACAACCCATTTGTTCTCCCAGGGAATGAGGACGGGGATGACTGGCGCCCGAATAATGACCAAACCATAGGAAGAATAGTGCTGTACACCCATAGTCCCACTGGAGGATACAGAAAGTGCGCCATCAGGTACTTTTCCGATCCACAGAACTGGGACACTCTCGCGGGATTCCGCAATGGGACAAGAGGCTTCACCCACTTGCCTTACATCTGGAAGTATGATGAAAACTGGCACAGAGTTCTGCTTGATCGCTCAGCAATGATGTGGCAGAATAAAGGTGACAAAGAATTCAACACAAGGGGGGGAATCAAAAGCCTCCAAGTGACATGTTTCAAAACCAACTCCGACAGCTCATATTTTGCTATCACCGACGATGGATGTGGTAACAAGTATATGCTGACAGACCCAAAGAGAGAGGGATGCTACGAAGAGGTCCGAGACAAATGTGGAAGCGCATGAGCCGGATGGGATGAAGATTTCATAAGTGGTCATGATGGAAGGGGCTACACAGGACACCCGGGAGACAGAAGTGTACCGGGAGGACGGGTACCAAGACCTAGGATGAAGTAGGATGAATAGAAGAAAAGACATAGTTCCAAAGGAGGATGTTGAAGAGAGGAAGAAAATGGAACAATGTATTTTATTATATAAAGCTTAAATATGCTAAAAACTGTGTTAAAACTCTGAATGCCATAGTCATGTATCGTATAGTTTAATGCTTTAGCAATATAAACAGGATGTATAGCATAAATCCTGACATGGGTGCTCATAAAGACCCGTGATGCAAAGTACGCACTTCCTCTTTCGAGGAGATGAACTCTCTATGCACTTCCCATTTCGAGGAGAATCTGTTATGTATTTCCTCGCTGGAAGTGAACAGTTAACCACAGCAACGAAGAAGGACACCTCTAAACGCACCAGCTTGCACGCAAAGCATGTGACAAGCCGCGGGAAAGAAGAGGATAAAAGAAGACTGAAGAACATAGGAGAGCAGTTCCTCTTCGAACCCAGTTCGAACTTGAGCTCTCCAGCTTGTTTAGCAAGCCACGGAAGACGATCGTATTACTTACTCGTATTGAGGCAAAGATCTCGGATATAATAAGTATCTGGGCAAAACGCATTTCATTTTTTATTGATGTGTGGTGTTGTAACTTGTGAAACTTTAATAAAACTACCTGTTCACATTTGTGAGAGGAAACTAAAGTCCATGTAGCCCTTCTGATTATTGTTGGATAGGTGACAATTCAGATGGCAATGTAACCTGTTCCCACATAGCTTGAGTCCTGAGTCCAGTTTGATTCCAGTGTACTGTTCCTTGGCTGAGGATCAATCCCTGACGGAGTCTTGCAGAGACACCAGAGAGAACAATAGGTAAGTCGCACCTAAGCTAACTCTGTTGCTGGATTCTATGTCATATTGGAGGTCGCCACGATCGGTTGATCTTAAATACGGCAGCAGTGCTTTACGGGTATTGAATCCCAAGGTTTCAGAGGTGTGTTCATTAAGGTCTGTGTTTAAAGTCTAAAGGGAAAAACGAACAAGGTAAAAGTTGAAATGATGTGTAAAACTGATTAATGGAGGTAGTATAGAAAGAAGGGAGTTTGTCGGTACCTCGTGGTGGTGTGTGGGTCACACCTTTTATGCCCGGTCTGAGTAAAAACCGTAACCTTTTAACAATAAATTTGGCCATGTCACAGCAGGGAGAGAATGACCCCATACCAGTACGATATGAAGGTATTTGTATGTGTGTATTTCTATTTCCTGCTACTTTTTTACTTGCACACACAACAACATTTCAGAGGCAACAATATTGTACTTTTTACCCCACGTCATTTATCTGACTCTTTGTATTATGTATTATTATTGGTCAACATGAAAGTTCATTGATGCCTTGGTGAAAGTCACAAGATACCTGGCAGTATATATAGTAAACAAAAAAGCGTGCCGTTATTGTTTCAACTGCAACAATAATGCATTCATATTTTTCTTTAACATTGTGTGTTATATAGGTTTTTGTGGATGAAAATGGTCTGCAAAGGCTAAAATCCCAGAGTTCCCTCAAGAGGGAGTTTCTTCCGTACCATAGTGACATCACAATGCCACCCTTTCAGAAAGAGAGTGAAAAGAGGTGCTGCAGCACAGACAGTATGTGAAAAATAAAGAGCTTTTTGAACATCAAAGCATGTAAACACGTCACAGTAGAGGCACTAAATACAGATATGAACCTTAAAAAAAAGCAAAATAGCGCCCCTTTAAATAATATAAGATTATTCTGAAGAATGAGAAGTTACATTTTTTGTACTTTCATAATATTTTGATGCTTCTTCTTTTGTGCATTTTTTTGAGTACACAGTTAAATGCAGAATCTTACTTGCAACAAGGCAGTTTTGCACCGTGGTATTAATACATTTACTTGAGTAAAAAATCTTAGTACTTTGTTTACAGTGGCTGTAAAAGATCAGTTTGCATGTAAAGTCGCCTCTTCAGGTATATTTGGTTTATATAGGATTGAGAGAGGTTGTTTATGTGAAACAAGTTGGTGCAAAGTGAGCAGTGTGTGTTAAGCGGTGTTGTTCTTGGTGTGTGTGAAACACACAGACTGTATGGTGTAACATGACAACCTGCTCGAGCGCAGCAGCTGGGACTGTAGATGGTCAACAGGTGCTGCAGCAGAGATTTTGAGACTTTGTATTTCTCTTATGCTTTCCACACGTGTCTGCACTGATCGCCCCTGTGTGTGTCCTGTGTGTGTCCTGTGTGTGTCTTTGAGTGTGTCTTTGAGTGTGTCTTTGAGTGTGCATATGGCCACAAATGTGAGCATGTGTGCACATTAACCAGAATGAGCGACAATGAGCTGTTGTGTGGCTGCTGCTGCTCAGAAACCTAATAGCCAAGGACACAGAAGCTCAGCAGCAGCTGTCCTCTCTGCACCTCCTATTTCACTCGCAGCTCTAACTGAGGGATTTACATCTTTACATTCAGGTGGAGGGTTACACGCTTTAAAGAGGTAGTTAGTATTACACTAAAGATGTATTTAATTGTTCCTAAAGAGCTGACTGAATCAGATCATGTGTTTATTTTGTAAAATAATAAATAATACTTATTCTTAACTGTATTGATATACTGCCTTTCATGACATAAAACACAGCTCAAAGGGCCTTACAGTAGAAAGAAATCAACAACAGAAGTGATAAGGAGGAGACTGGGAGTGAAAACAATAAAATAATAAAATCCTAAGGAGATACGATGAAGGAATATGATTGCAATAAAAGCAAGTCGATAATGGTAAAAACTTTTTTAATTTAATCAATGTGTTAGATACAGAAAGCAAATATCAAATAATAACGATTGATGTTAGAAAAAGTTGGAATTAATTAAAAGCAAAATCATCAAAATACTTTTTAGGCCAAACTTACATCTGTCAAATAAGTCGAGAAAAATGAAATATATTTAACAGCAAATTGTAGAAGTATAAAGTGCAGTTACCACTACCTTTCCCCTTTATACTTGTTGTACCTGCGTTTTTGGCCACTTGGAGGCACTAGAAACAAGTTAAACACACAACACTGACATATCACCACATTTTAAGATGATATGTAACGGTTGTGTATTTACATCAAATCGTTGGAAAGCTATACAATATTGTATTTGGAGTTGTGTACTGGTGAATGTCAGTCCAATATTTATTCTTTTTTAGCTCTGTTTTTGGTCTCCACCAACTGATTAGGGAACAATCTGGCCCTTCAGCTGCTTAATAATCCACTCTGTTTACCATCAGTTGCTAACTTTCTGTTTTGCTTTCTGAGCATGGTATGGTGTGTTTTTAGAGCTTTTTTGCTTAAAAAGTGAGTAAATCAGAGCAGTGTTGAACGGCCAAACAATGAGCTGAAACTCCTTTTTAAAGCTTAAAATGAACATTACTTGAACATTTTAATTTCATATAATGTGATTACAAATTGATTATTTATACCCACCAAGTAAATCAACCTTGTTTCTTTCCACCCCTGCACGTCATCCGTTGCTGACTAAAAACCTACCTGTATCAACTGCACCTTAATTGGCAAATAAAATCTAAGAAAAACACCTCGACACTTCTGTATGTTGCACTTAAAATAGTTTGACTTATTTGAGGATAATATACCTCCTGGATTCTTACTGTTCTGAATTTGCACCCTCATGGTTAAGGGCTTTTATTTTCAGTCGCTTTTGATTCAAACTAAATGAAGTGTGTTTACTTTCCTATGTTTGCTCTGTTCCTAAGAACCCAAATCAGTCTTGGACATGTTGTCACTTGTAGGCGTACATACTCTTGCTGTTAACTAGGAAATATAGACACTAAACCTTGTGCTAATTGTACTGTATGAGAAACTAAGATCAAAGAACGACCCGTCTCAGAGCTCATGTTTCCCCTCCTGTGGGCGGGGGTCTCCCTGGACGTCAGGAGAGCAGCAGCTCCTCCGCCCTGTGCACGCTGCCCTCAGTTGTCCAGGCTGCTCCAGAAAGTGTGCACGTGCTGCAGATGAAACTTGAAGAAGCTGCAAAGACTTTGGAGTAAAACTATTTTCATCGAGGCTCAGCGGACGGATCTGAACTCACCGGGACTAAACATGAACACCATGAAGGTGTTGGCTCTGCCCCTCCTCATCACTTTGATGCACAGTGAGTATTGTTCTGCTTTTAGGAACTTTATTAAGCACTTTACCAACGTTAATACACTCAGAAAAGAGGCTTATAGATCAATTGCAAGACGTTTTACGAGGGAGAAGTGCATGTGTTAAACTAAGTATTCCCTCAGTCTGTGGATGCTCCTACATTATTCACACCAGGTATTCTGTTGTTTCAGATTTGTATATCATTTGAAATCTGGGTCCATAATATCAACATCTTCTCTGAAGGCCTGCATAGAAGACGCAGAATTAAATATAAATCCTATATTAAAGGGAAAAGTTAGAGAATGTACCAAAATGATAGGTGTTGGTAGGGGGGTCCCTCATAAATGCAGAACACATGCAGGTTTTTTTTAATTTTTGTGTGATTGACTTCTAAATGAATGAAGAGGTTTTGTTAGGTGATGCATGTTTGGTCTTGCAACAGAGAAGCTGTGAAAAACTGTGATCAATGCTTATGATTTCAGCATGAAGCAGACTGAAATTATTTTGGTTTCATGATTTATTGATCAGTAGTGTTAGTGCACGTCAGAAGGAGAAATGTGATGCGTTCAGGGACTGCATCAGAGGCTGAGATTGTGCAGGGAGTGGTTCTGTTTGGGCTGCGTGTTTACATGAAACCCACTCTGATGCCGTTTGAACCCGAGATCTTCGGCTGATGAAACAAATCTCGTGGAGGAGTCTGAGATCCCAACGCTTCAGTTTGAAGATGGCCCCCGCCTGACCCTGTTGTTGATTGGACTGAGATGAAATACGACCACTTGCTATCTGGAAAAATGCATTTGGAGCGTTCGTGGGATCTCTCAGGGGCAGAAGCTGCTTTCCAAACAAAATGCTTTATGTTGATAATTGCAGTTTTGACGTTTGTTTTGATCTTCCTTGTATTTCCTTATGATCAGGGAACAAACTTCCTCACAGAGATTAAAATATATAAATCCTTATCCTCAGTCAGGACAAGGCTGATCAAAAATAAAGGATCCAGTGCATGGTGCTGGCATTATTTGCAAAGTGTAAAACCTTTTTAAAGCACTTTCTACTGCTATGAGAATCCTAAAAATGCATTTTTCTATGAGTAAAATAATCAGAAAACATGTAGAATACAATGCATGTAATTTATGTTTTTACTGTAGGTTAAATCGGGTTCATGGCAGAGAGGTTTAGGTTAAGCTGAGGGTCATGGTTAAAGGTTCATCCAGTGTGGAGTGCTGCACGTGTGTGTAGATATCTGTCTGTGTGAGTGTGTGTTGTGCCAGCTGAGGAGGGTAAGGTTACTTTCACAAAGAGCTGCTTTGTCTCAACAAGCATGCTCTCCACGCATGTGTGCGCCACACACGCACACACACACACACACACACACACTCATGCATTGATCCCATGTGTTCTCTGCATAATACCAAACAAGGTGTATGCATTATTACCTCGTATATTAAAGCTCCTTAAGTGATTCTCCGTCGTTGTTTTCTCCTTATTGTCTTGTTAAATTAGTTAAGTCCTTCAAAGGGAACAGCAGCTGGGAACGTTTGCAATAACAAATTGTTACCATGGATTTATAGTAAAAGAAACTGCACATTATCAATGGGATTATATTAATTAAAAAACATTATTTATCAATTTTTATTTAGATAAAACTTTGACTTTGGGTTTTCCTGCAGTGAAAACTTGTTGCCATTGAAGTTTATCAAAAATGCATTGATCTAAGCCGGCTACCATTACAGTTTTGGGGCATCTACAGCATATTTTTAGATTTAGACTCATACATTTTGTGGAGGAATGCAGTGTGTTCTGAAGGGACACTTCATTAGAGGAGGTTATCAGGTTGGGATTAGGCAGCTTGTCAGAGTCATCCATCACCTGCATTCCTACACACCACCGCTCCTGGCACCACCAGGCTGGTGTGTGTGGGGGTGTGTGTGTGTGTGTGGGGGGGGGGGGGGGGGTGTGTGTGCATCCAGACAAAGAGCAGATATGCACATATTCTGTCTTGGGAAGTTAACTTTTTTCTATATGGTGTGAATCCATGATGTTTGTCTGTGTTGTCTTAAAACGTGTGTTACGATGGATCATGTCATTTTTCTGGAAAACAATTTTACCTACAAAAAAGTAGCCTCAACCTGATTGTTTACTTAAAGTGAAAACTGTCTTGAAGATTGACCACAGCTGACCCTCTCTCCTACAGGTCCTCTCTTTCTGTCAGTGACGGTCAGCAGCAGCAAACCCAAAGTGGAGGTCCACGAACACACAGGTCAGACTCCGCTTATTTGACTTATCCTTAAAATCATACATTATGTGACTGAAGTTTTGTTCTTTTTAAACTTGTTCCTTATATCTTTAATGCTTTCACCCTAACTAAAGAGCAATTTAAAACCTTCACCAGTCTCAAACCATATTTTCCAATGCAGTTTGCCATCTAATTTTACATTTAGAGTCAAACTGATTGAAACAATGTGGCCTAATATGAAACTTTGACAATAGAACTTTAACACAGTTGTGACAGAAATCAACATATTTAGCAAAAATGAACCTAAACAGTTACTTCAAAGAAAAGTATATGTATTGTATTCACATTTTTTCTTCTTGTCCTACCAGATGCTGTGCTGGCCTGTGAGTTCAGGACGGAGAAAGATCAGAACCCCAGAATCGAGTGGAAGAAAAAGGGAATGGGGGTGACGTTTGTGTATTTTAATCACAAATTCACTGGTGAGCGACAGACCTGCAGGAATTCCTTTAAATCCTTTCTTCCCATCGTCCTTTCATAATCACCCTTTGATTTATTCATGTTGTTAAGCTGTGTGTACCTCTGTCCCCTCCCACCATAGGCCAGTATGCCAGCAGGGCGAAGATGGAGGGAGCGACGCTGACGTTTCACTCGGTTTCTCAGAAAGACTCGGGGGAGTATCGCTGCGAGGTGACGGCCAGTGAGGACCACGTGAGCCTGGGAGAAGCTACTGTGACGCTCAATGTGCTCGGTATGAAAGGGACACCTGCATCTGTTATAGTGAATATGAAAATATGCTTATATTAGAGCATCTTTAGGGTCTGTAATGTGATGTATCTTTGAATGAATGTGGGCAGGATTTGGTTATAAAATTCATACAACAAATTCAATTGAGAGATTTGAGGCTGCAAAGGTCTTTTAACCGCCCTCACTTGGGGTGTAAGATCAGGAGTAGGAGGAGAGTTTAATGATTTAAAGGTCACCTATTATGCTAAATCCACTTTTTTATATATTTTCTACATCAACATGTGTCCCCTCTGTGTAAAGAGACTCTGAAAGTTTCAGGAAAAAATATTCTCTCACTTTTTGTCCTGATCCATTTATATAAAAACCTGTCTGAAAATGAGCTGATCATATTTTGGCCACTTTATGATGTCATAACGATTTTTTGTCTTGAGTAACCATTAGCCAATCACCAACCAAGGTAACACCCCCCCACCTTATCCCCTGAATCTCGTCCTAGAGCACATTGTGTTCTTTTTAACCAAATATCTCTCAGAGGGGCATGGGGAGGGGCTCCTTATTTTCATCTAAAGTAACAGACAGAGAATCAGCACTTTTGAAACAGGGCTGAAACAGAGGGGATTATGGGATGCTGCAAAGATCTGTTTGGTGTTTGGAGCCAAACACTTCAGAGACATGTTTTGTATATATCTGAGACCTATAATATATTGATGAAAAACAGTATAATAGGGGACCTTTAATCAAAACCACAACCACCATTTTTTTTTAAATGTGAACCAACATTTTGCCAGCTGAATTTCCACCACACACCTCTTACTGTGAATATTGCTAATTCTATACTTTACGTAACTGGATCTGTTTCCCCCCTCTTCTTCCTCAGTGCCTCCTCACGTCCCGTCCTGCGAAGTGCCCAGCTCGGTGTTCGTGGGCTCCGGGCTAGAGCTTCAGTGTAAAGACAAACTCAGCGTTCCCCCGGCCACTTACCGCTGGTACAAAGACAACAAGGCCCTGACCCCCTCAGCAGAGACGCAGTACAGCGCCGACACCAGCAAGGGCACACTCGTGAGTACACACTAAAATTATTAATCTAATATATCATATTCCAATTACTTGTAGGGTGGGTAAGTTTGAGAAACCGGCTCGAGATACACTTTTTGTTATATTCCATGGAATGCTCTTAACATCCCGATAGCAATGAATATCTTAAGTGCTTTGACAACAAATCCATAAAAAAATGTCATCTGTGGAAGCCGTAGTACTGTAAAAAGCACGACCAATCATTTTAGCCGGCCCGGCTAAAATAACTGGATGGCCTACCTGCCTGTCAGCCTTCCATCTGTGCACAAATTTATCTCGTGCCCTCATTGGTCATGTGCACGTTCGTGTGTGTTGGAGGAGGGGCTCTGTAAGGAAGTGGGAGATTTTTTCCGGCTGTGTATTTTCAAATTCTAGCGCACTCGAGCTGGTTTCTCCAAAATTACCTACCCCGCCTTTAATCTATTTTATTTGTATTTACTTGTACTATTTTATCTGTTTTATTGTGTTGCATTGTTGGAGGAGCCTGTGACCTAAGATTTTCATTGATATTATCTACACTGTGTACACATGACAATAAAAGCCTTGAAACTTGAATCTTGAATCTTGAATCTAATATACAAACACCTGAATGCACCCAGGAGAATAAAGACTATACACATCTGTAAAGACACACATTAATCATCTGCAATCCAACTTTCACTTTGTGTTTTTCTGGAGCAGGAGTTTAGGAGTGTGACCAAAATAGACGCAGGGATGTACCGCTGTGAGTCCTCCAACAGCGTGGGAGCGCCCAAGAGCTGCGTGGCCCAACATCTCAAAGTCATTGATTGTAAGAGGTTTTAGTAAAACTCCTATTTAAAATGTACATGTCTCGCTTCACTCACCAAACACTGAGTAATTCCTCTCTTTCCCCCCCTCCCAGATCCTTTGAATACGACGGTTTTGATAGCAGGTGCTGCAGCGTTCCTGGCGCTCGTCCTCTTCTGCTGCATCTGTGTGTGTGTCTGCAGGCGCCGAGGCTGCTGCAAGAGTGAGTGGTCGTGTGATGTGTGTGTGTGTGTGTGTGTGAATTATGATTTTGCTGGATAGAAATGGTTAGAAATGTTTAAAAAGTGCATTCAAAATGTGTAAATGTGACAGGATTAAATGCATTCCTTTATCATTTTAAATGGAAAACTCAGTGCAGTTTTTGTGGTTTTAGGGAATATTATTATAGTGGTTTTAAGCGTTTTGTTTTTGTTTTATACTGCTCCTATCAGCCTTTTTTTATCAGGGAAATTACTCTAAAAAGCCACTGTACACCTGCTCAGCTTCAAAAAGCAGACATACCGATTAATTGACTAACTTGTAAGGTAAAGAGCTAAGGAACCTGACATTTGCCTCAGTAGAGTTGAAACCGAGTGAATATTGGATTTACATTTGTCAGGTTGGACAGAAACAGGAGTCTAAATGCATACTTGAGTAAATGTACTAATCACTATCCACCATTACCAACTGATTAATAGACAAATGTGCAGCTTAGTCAGTGACCATGACAAATGTTAACGTTTCTTCTTTGTCGTTTCTTTGAACAGAGGAGAAGAAAATGAAAAGGTGAGGGTTTGTTTCACTTGTTTCATCTGACTCTTTTTGCCGGTAACCGTGTATTAGTTGATAATGAACTCACACTGCCACCCTTTGTCTTTCAGCAACAAATCCTACAACCCTCCTCCTCCGCCTCCCATCCGCAACGTGAGTGATCAGAGGGATTGTTGTCGGGCTTGTTTTGCTTACGGTTGCCATTTAAATTCTGTTGATAAGTTGCTGATAACACTGGTCTCGGCTAATTAAAGGAAATGATTCATTGCATGTCTCTCTGCTCTTTTACAGATCAAGCACTACAAACAAGCTCACTCCTTCATGATCTAAGAGCGAAACACTTTGACTTCAAACCATCCAGAATATAAAGTGTGTACTTCTTCATAAACACACAGGAAAGTTACTCGAACTCGCCTTGCTTTTGGCATGTTTGGCATGTTTCCAAGATTTAATGTTCATAAACGTCTTTATCTTTCTCATACTGCCCGTCGGCAGTATGAGAAAGATAAAGACGTTTATGAACATTAAATCTTGGAAACATGCCAAAGTAGGGGCACACAATACAAATATGAACCTGAAAATTAGAATAACAAAGCCCCTTTAAGCAAAAGCTAAGATTTAAACAAGATTTTCTACTCTTTGTATAGCCGCTTTCACACCAATTACTTTGCCGTACTTAGTGCCCAGCACTTAGTACCCCCATGGAACTAAGTACAGATCGCGTTCACACCGGAATAAGTTCCCTGAGGGAATATTACGCAAATGAAGCCGCTGACGTCACTTCTTCTTCTTCTGCTTTGGGTTTACTGGCAGGCCGCAAACCACTTCACGGCGTATACTGCCACCCGAAGTCCCCGGAGTTGGGGACTGGCTTCAGTAGAAGCTGCTGGGAGTCCCAGCAGCTTCTACTGAAGCCTTCCGAGTAAATTGCCAGAACGCCGACACCTCCTCATCTCTCCACCGCTCCCATGTTTTTTTTTGTGTTGCCATAAATTAGTCTCTCTCCGTTGGTGCGCTGGGCTAATGCTAATGCTAATAATGCTAATGCCAGCAAATACAATGGCGGCTTCACAAAACTTTTCAGAGTTTTACGGGGCGTGGTTTGCAATTCGCCCAGCCAATCGAAATTGGTACTTTTTTCTCCCCAGGATAGTACCACCTCTCTAGCAGGCACTAAAAATGGGGGTAAAAGTTCTCGGAACTAAGTACTCTTTTTGGTGTGAACGCAAAATTCCAGGCACTATCGGAACTAAACGGGAAAAGTACGGGGAAAAGTACTCCGGTGTGAACGCGCCTTTTGTATCAACTACAAACCATCAGTAATGTAAATAGTGGCTTTATCTCAGCTCCTTCAAAGCCACATTATATGTTAAATTGTCATATTTTTCTCGAGTGTAAAGACCGTTTTTATATCTTTTTTTTAACACATTTTTCCAACTTTTCTCAGACTTGATAGGCCGAGTTCACAATGCAGTTTAATCTATTTTCCGCCACCTATAGGCAAGAAGCTGTTATTCATCCAAATACTGTATAGATTGTATCCTTCTTATTGCCTTTCATTTATATTTAGATGCAGAGATGTTGGTTTTATATGAAGTTGTTTTTTCTCTTTGTCATTTTTGGTATATATATATATTTTTTAAATGTGTGTGTTTGTGTGTTGAGCTTATGATTGTTTAATATTTGGCTGTATAAATTCAAATAATGTGAATTGAGCGACAAATGAACGGGTGTCTGCACACACTGAATTGTGCTTTGAAAAGCTTTTGAAAATATTTTGATACTTTTTTGATGTTCAATAAAGAATGATGAAAACATAATGGTACATTGGATTTTATTGGCTTATAGTTTTAGGTATTATTAGCTAATCTAGAGATACATCTAGTCTGGTTAGCTGAATGCTAATGCTTACAAAGAGTTAACTATACTGTTTAACATAGGCAATGTACAAGTGATAGAAAGATATACCAAATATAATACAATTCTAATAAAATCAACTAAATTCAGGTAATTCTTTCAGAAGGTTTCCACTTGTTCACGGTTCATAAATAAACTTTAAGAAAAACATTAAAATGTATGTGCTCGTTTTTAAAGGGTTTGACCCCTTTGATCGCAGATACAACAAGATAAGCTAAAAACAGAACGTAAAATGCTGTACTGTGGAATAAAATACTGCTTATTGTAATAATAAACATGTGAGCTGCAACAAAATAATACATGTGTGCCTTCATAGTATGATTGTTAATAATAATATATTCTGCAACTGTACAGAAGAGCGTATTTTCATTGTGGCAGTAACAGACGGCAATGTTGGAGAAGCAAACTTTAATACATTATTGAGATATGACATCAACTCCTACTTCCCAATTTAAAGGTAATCTATTATGCAAAATCCACTTTTTCATGTCTTTTATACATCAACATGTGTCCCCTCTGTGTAAAGAGATTCTGAAAGTTTCAGGAACAAAGACCCCCTCTCTTTTTGTCCTGATCCATTTATAAAAACCTGTCTGGAAATGAGCTGATCAGATTTTGGCCACTTTATGATGTCATAACGATTTTTTGGCTTGTGTAACCATTAGCCAATCACAACCAAGGTACCCCCCCCCCCACCTTATCACCTGAATCTCCTCCTAGAGCACCATTGTGTTATTTTTAACCCAATATCTCTCCGAGGGGCGTGGGGAGTGGCTCCTTATTTTCATCTAAAGTAACAGACAGAGAATCAGCACTTTTGAAACAGGGCTGAAACAGAGGGGATTATGGGATGCTGCCATGATCTGTTTGGTGTTTCAGCCAATCAGAGACAGGTTCTGTATATATCTGAGACCTATAATATATTGATGAAAAACAGTCAAATAGGGGACCTTTAAGGTTTCTTGACAAATCAACAAGAAACCTTACATTTGAAATTTAAAAACAAGTGAAATTTGTTTAGAAATATTTCTAATTTCTTTCTTTGAAATGCAGTCTGCTTCGCTTTCCCAGACAACACTTGATGTGTGTTTGTTCCTCACTAGATGGCAGCACAGCCCTGACTCGGCTCACAGCGGCTCAGACAGGCCTACAGCTGCCAGCCGTTATCCATTATTAGTCTACAAACAGAAGCACTGTTGTTCTCCTCCCTTTGTACTCGTGCTTCTCCGTATTGTGCCGCCCATACATTAGAAGCCGTGGAGAGCACTGATTTCCTGCTGCTTCACTTCACTGTTGTTTTAAACAAGATGCATAGTCTGAGTATCACGATTTAAAGATATGTCTCATGTTTAGACCTTCACATTTTGGATTTTACATCATGATGTGAAACTGCCACAATGCAAACTGTGTGTCAGGATCAAAATGTATTCTCGTACATGGCCATAACCTCCTCTAATGATGACGTTAAGTGGCTCGTATTGATTTGATAATGTGGCTGTTTGGTAGCTCCAACCTTTCTGATCCTCCACTCTGGCTGCAAAGAAAGGAAATCAGCCAAGCTCTAAAATATGCAAATGTTGTTTCACAGTCGGTGTGAAAAGCCTCAATGGGAACTGCTTCGGTTTCAGCACACTGACAGGGTTTTCTATGGAAGGTATTTATAGGCTCAGGATGTCTGCATTGAAGTCATTCATTACTCATTACTCTATCACAAGGGTTTCTGTGTTACAGACAATATAATGTGTATATGGCAAAATGAAAAAACAAAGCAACCTATGGGACATTAAGTTACGTCTTTTAGCAGGTATGTCTTTCTCTCCTTACACAGCTCCCATTATTCCACAATGTGCACTACAGTACTCTTTGTCCATTATATATCATTTTGACTAGACATTTGGGAGACATTGGGAGGCCCGATGCCCGAGCCCCCTCACAGATTGTAATTTTTTTTACATTTTAAATACATAATAATAATGAACTTCTAAAATGAATGTCACATTTTGAGATGGAGCTAATTAAAAAAATCAGTTTGAAACTAGATTTGAGAAACCTCAACACCCACGGTCCAAACCAACAGGTATGTCTTTTTTTGTTGGCTGGTAAGTTCTTTTTGGGAAGACAGTTAAGGCGTGACACACATTATTATAGATGTGGCCGTTATCACCCATTGTTTTTAGGCACTACCCAGAGACTGACATATTAAAGCCTTAGTTTAGCATTTTGGCAGTTGCCGTCTTTTGCAATAGAGTGAATCAAAGTCCAACCAAACGCAGAACAAGACACTTTTAGGATTCTATAATGTTCCATTAAACCTTCATGAACTTAAAACACACATAGAAAGGAAAGATGAGGGGGCAACCTTAGATGGTAATATGTCCTTTACAAGGTAGCCATGCCTTTAAGTATACCTCACTTTTTACGCTTAAAAAAAAAACCTTATGTTAAATTAACATCATTATGTTTTAAAGAAGATTTAAAGGGGACCTATCATGCAAAATGCACTTTGTGATGTCTTTTATACATAAATATGTGGCCCCGGTGCATCGGGGAACTCACGCAGCGTCAGAAAATAAAACCCTCTCTCTTTTCCTCCGTACCCAAATCTTTTAAAAACAGGGGTACAACGAGCGGATACAGATTTGCTGCCGATCTGACGTCAAATTGGCAGCGGACCCACAGAAAGTTGCTATCAGAAACAATGCCTGACGTGTTTTGGACGTAATCTTGTCTTTGTTTACATTAGCAAGCCTCGCTAACACTCAGAGCTAACCTGTACTGGAGAGCACATGTGTTTAAAAAGCAGGAAATAAAAAAAGGAACTCACCTTGTGATTAACCCGCAAGAGAAAAAGCATTTGAGCTCCATACTGTTTCAGAAATAATCTTTGATGTGGTTTAGAACAGGATGGCGTTTTATCACAGCAGAATTTAACTTTATCTCCGGTAGAATTCTGATCAGGCATTAGCTCCTCCGCCTCCTCTTTTTTTTTTTTTCAAGCTAAGGACCCAAAATCCGCGTTTCTCTAACAGGGCTGCAAAAGAGGGGTATACGAGCAGTATGAGGCATGGCTACAATGGGTGATCTGTTTGGTATTTTAAGCAAAAAACTTCACAGACATGTTTTGTATAGGTATGGCCCTACAATATATTTTTCCAATATAGCATAATAGGTCCACTTTAAAATAGCAATGGAGCCCATTAGTTCATGTTCACAATGAATACTGAGTTAATAAATCAAGTTAGTTTTTTAAACGACTCTATTGGACTAATTTGTTTACTTTAGTGACATAATGACATCACTATGTAACACACGCACTTACCTCTCACATTTAGTTATTAGCATACAGTTGGGACTACAATAAGGCCCTATGGGAAACAATACTGTATAGTGGAATATACTGACAGTACAGTAAATTGTCAGCAGTTCTAGACACAGCGTAGGAGTTTCCCTCGACGTGTACGAATGCATCGCTAGCAATGAAACATAAACAAAAGATCCTTATCAGCCAAGCGGAGTTCCTGGCTGAACTTGAAATATCAGTTATACGAGCAAACAGACACAAAGAGCTCCAAGGGATAGAAATCAGATGACTGGAAGTACCCAAATGATAGCCACACAAACGCACGCACACACACACAACAACACACACACACACACACACACACACACACACACACACACACGCGCACACACACACACACACACACACACACACACACACCACACACACACACACACACACACACATACACACACACACACACACACACATACACACACACATCCCATACATCTTGAGG